TTTTGGTTTCATCTACCTGTCCCTCTCACTCTCTGTCTGTCTGTGTGTTTGTGTGTGTTTTGTATGGGGGATGGGGGAAGGAAATGAGTAAATAATTTAGCAAGGATGGGGAGACACTGCGGGAAGGGGGGGAAGAAACCAGGCGGAAGGTGAGAGAGAGAGAGAGAAGGTGACATGCATGCATGCATACATGAGACACGAATGCTGCCTTTTTTCTCTCTCTCTTTTTTTTTTTTTTTGTTGGTGTGGGTGTTGTATGCCCCTTCCATTTATTTTTATGTCACCACCCTTGCATGCATACAATATATATATTGATTTGCAACCCCCCCGCTTTGTGCCCGCAGCAAAATCCCCCGTTCCACTAAAAAACAAAACAAAACAAAAAACACAAAACACAAAACAATTCACTCCATTTTTCCCCCCTTCTCCCCCCCAATTTCCCTTTAAACCAAACAAGACAAAAAAAATCAAAAAAAATGTTTTATTTTTTTTCTTCGTTTTTCTTCGTTTGTGTGTTTTCAACCGTTTTTTTTTTTTTTTTTTTTCCATTTTGCTTTTATTATATATATTTATTTATTTATATATAAATAGTCTTTTTTTCCCCTTTCCCTCTTAAGAAGTTCCATCAATTTTTTATTAAATATTTTTTTTCCCCTTTTCCTCTTCTCTCCTTGTTCGCATCTTGTCCTCTCCGGCTTGCCTGCTGCCGCAATTCACCGCATCCAGAGAGAAAGATAGAGAAAAGGGAGGAAACAGGGAGGGAAAAGAAGGAGAGAGAGAGAGAGCAGAAAACAACGAAAATCATGCAGTTTCTCGCACTGGTCCTGGTGAGAAAAAAAAAAGAAAACGAACTTTTTCGTCTTTCTCCTTTTTCCCCAGCCTGGCCTGGCCTGGACTTCCCCCTTACGCTCTTTCACGGTGCTGGCGGGTGGCGCTGGTTTCAAAGGATCTGCTAACGCTCATGTTATTGCTACCGATGCTGATGTTGCTAATGCTCTTGTTGCTACAGACAGGGAGACGCGAGGCCCTTCGCGGGAGCGCTGGCATCGACATGTTAGCGGCTGTCGTTGAACGGGAGAAAAAGGGGCCAGAGAAGCACTTTTCTTCATTCTCCACTCTAATCACAGGCACCACGCCATTCCCTGCTACAGCCACACTGTCGCCCTTCTTTGTCTTCTTGCCCACTTCGTTAGCATAATCATTGCTTTTAACAGCAGCACTGGTCAAGCCCTTTGTCGGAGTGAAAGCCTGACTGTTCGCCGATGCAATACTGGCGCGTGATGGGAGGAAGGGCGGAAATAAATCGCCTTTCTTCTCTTCCTCTCCACGGCTCATTCTGCTCCCACCGCTGCTGTTTCCACTAGCCATGCTCAGCCGTCGTAAAACTGGCAACATCAACGCATCCTCCTCATCAAATTCACCAGCACTCAGAACTTCCGATTTGGTTGAAGGTCTTCTGGAACGGGGCGTCGTGACGAGGTCATCCACGTACCGGTAGAACTCTTCGGCCTGCACGTAGAGGTCCAGCTCAAGAAACCGAATAAAATGTGCCTCAAGACAATTCATCTCCGAGTTTCTGACTCCGCAGATGCTGGCAAAGTTCTTGTTGCTAAGTGTCCGTGTGTCCATGACTTTACTGGCAACGCGCGTTGCAGAGGCAAATAGCTTGAAGATGTTGAGTTTCGTAAGGAAGAGAGATGGTTTACGGGAGAGGAGCCGATCAATATAAAGGCAGGCAATCAAGAGTACAGACGGGGACACATATGTGTATTCTACAATGCGATTGACGTATCCCGAAAAGGAGATGCTCGGCGCTGTGCTCGTGTCGAAGACATTGAAGGAATCCCGTGTAACCTCCGCGTCAAAGAACTTCTCCAAGACCGTTCGTATGTCCATTTGGGGCGACGGCAGCGGCAGATTCAATTGACGGGGCAGTTGTTTCCCCTTCTGCTTCCGAGTTCTTCTGATGATCCTCTTTCTGCTTATCCAACCGCTGCTTCCACATTTTATGTGCGTCAATGACGCTCTCGACAGCGCAGCTGATGGCGGGGATAAGAAACTCGTACTCCACGGCATGTTTTGCTTGAAGTGACTCCGTTTCACTCAGGACGCCTTTCTGGCAGTACCGCTGCGGCTCTGAAACGGATGGGGAAAGAACAAACAACTTCAGACGGGCAGGCACATCCGAGGCGGGGAATGCGGCGTTGTTGTCGGCACTCAGTTCATCACGCTCGGCCTTGAAATTAGATTCTGATATACCGGACTGAGACGAGAGCGACGGGATTTCAAAAAGAGTGCGGCTCAACGCACGATGCTTCAATAACTTCTGTATGGCAACGTGGTGTGCGTGACGAAAATATTCACGGATAAGCGGTTTATCCGAGTCCAACGTGTCCAGGCTCAAAAACCTCACTACACTATCGGTCTTCATTTCTTCTTTTCGTTTGGGCGTTTCAGCTGCTGTTAGTCGTCGCTTCTTCTTTCCTCTCTCTTAATTCCCCTTTGCATTGCAGACAACGCAGTCACAAAGGCAAGAAAGAGAGAGAGACAGTGAAAAGACAGAAAGGCAAAAATGAAATAAAATAAGTAGACGGATGATGGAGAATCCATAAAAGTTCAAACAGAAAAACGCATGCCACCACTACCAAGGCAGAAAAGCAAATAAATTACTCAGTCACACTCTCTTGTGCACGCGGCCTTCCCTACACACCCAAAAGGATGCCCCAAAAATCAACTTACCTTGCAATTGTGCAACGATAGGGGAGAGGTGGAAAAAGGTGATGGTGTGGGCAAGCAGCCAAACCGATGATTTTCAAAGGAAAACCCGTTTTTTTTTTTTTGAGGATTTCACTCACACTCTCGGTTCATTGCAATTCCGCGTCGTCCAAGCAATGCAAAAGTTTTATGGCCGCCTCCCGGCAATGCGGCTCCGATCCCGCTTTTAATGCTCGCAACGTGTGAGCAAGTGTATTGCGCCCCACTTCCACCGCAACGACAGAGGTCTGAATATCTTTGCCGCTGCCGTCAGAAAGCATGAGCGTCATGACCGTCGCCACAAGGTCTCGCGTGTGTGAAGAGGAGATGGACTCAAAAAGAAGCAGCTGCGCTAGCAGACGCATGACTCCACGCGTGGCATCAGACGCACCATCTTTTCCAAGCACCACCGGATCTCCCGCAAGTAACACCGCTGCATTTTGTAGAAGAGCACAGATTGCCGTCTTCACATTGCTGTTTTTCGTCTGAAGAAGCGATTGGGGTGCTTTCGTGAGCATTGCGAGGATCAACGCCAACTGATCCGCAGTCAGTTTCGCTCCTGGTGGTGGTTTGTCCAGCGCTGCGATCACGTGAGCAAAGAGACGTGTTGTCACGAGAGCCTCCACATCAGGGACATGAGGCAAATTTTGAATGCATTCCTCAAAAAACTCTCGTGCATTGGGTGCATCCCCTCCGTTGCCGTCATCCGACAAAAGCAGCTGCAGCCAACCAAACGGATGCACTGTAACAGCAAGGAGGTGGCTGAGCAGGTCCAGTGCAGGGAAACGAGAGGCCTCGGGCAATTCGTGGTACAACGCCGCAATATCGTCCAGGAGGGCGCTGTTTGGTTCCCCCTCGGCCGCTGTTACCACCCGCTCCACCAAAGCACTGAGCCGCGTGTTACCCGTCAACTCATCAATCTTCTTCTTTGCCCCGGCTGCATTATACGATGTGAAGCGTTTATGGCTATTCCATCTGACGATACTGCGGTTTGCTTCCTCCGCTGTGGCCGGAGGCGCTCCTGCCCGCCGTGCCGCTTCTTGCTCAAGCAATAGCCCTTCCCGTGCATAACCTGAAAAGGCAACGTCACTTCTAGATGCCCCCACCGTCTCCATATTGCGCAGCGCCTCTCCCCAAGTTGGGGTGGTTGAGACACCGGCTTGCTGCAATGCCGCGGCCTCGCGGGCGTATTCAGAGAATACCGGCTCCCCGCCGCCCCCACCAACAGCGGCAGAGGCAGAAGCATGATTGCCTGCTCCTGTCACCGCGTTGGCGGTTCCTGTTCCTGGCTGAATGTCTCTGGGATCAACGTTGTTTAGAATAAAATTTTGTATCTCCTCCCTGTGCGATTGGGACACGAGGGTGCGATTTTCATTTATGAAGTTCTGCGCGGCCTCAAAGATGCTCTGGCCTTTGTCGTACGAAAGTTTGAGCATTTTCCCATTCACATCCACATCAAAGATATAATCGTGCGGCACGCCGTTCAGGTACTTCTTTTCTCTTGGCTGCGCTGCACCTGTAAATGCCTGCCCCTGCGGCCCCTCAACAACAGTCCCCACTTTGTCCCAACGACCGCAGTTCCAGGCATAAACCTCAATTGTGCCTGCCTCTGCGCGAGCAATGAGACGTTCACCCTGATGTGTCCCTTTACGAAACCGCAGATCAGCCACCGAAAGCATTGACGCTGTGTCAATCCCGGCAACGGTGAGAACTTTGACGTCAATTGTTTGGGCGGCCACAGCGGCCTCAAGTGTCTGCAGCTTCTCCACAGATGCCATCATTTCATCGTCTGCCGTCCACATGCGCACGACACCGTCAGAACCGCCGGTCACAACGTCGCCTGTATTTGTGAAACAAACAGACCACACCACACATGGATGGTTGATGCTCTGTATGACAACACTTTCCGTCTGCGTGTTCGACGAGGCCAAATCCAGCACGCCGCCCTTCCACACCTTCAACGATCGATCTTCTGAGACGGAAAACAACAGTTGCCGTGTTGGGCAGTAACAGAGGGCGTAAATTAGACTGTCGTGCGCTTTCAAGAGGCGGAGTGGGGTGGTGCCCGTCTCAGTGTCCCAAATCATGATAGTTGCATCATTTCCCCCTGTGGCAAAACGGGTCGCACTCATTGCGCAGATGCATTGCACGACGTCTTCATGGCCAACAAAAACCGACAGCGTAGCCCCTGTCTCCACATCCCACTGGTGGATCGTTTTGTCGCCAGAGGCAGACACAACGCTGCTCGTTCCTGGCAACTGAGCAACAGCCCGCACCGCCGTCTTGTGTCCGGTGTAATTTTGCTTCACACCGCCTGTTGTACTGTCAAACACGATACACATACCACCCCAATCGCCCGTCACAATGTCACCAGAGTTTGGTAACATCACAACACCGCAGCAGACACCATGCGCATGACCATCCAGAACTGCCTCAAGCGCCGTAGTCACGGGGTTCCACAACGCCACGTGCTTATCATTGCTGCCCGTGACAATGCAGGACTCACCATCAAGAAGCGTCATGAAGGGATGAAAGGTAACAAAGTTCACAAATGCAGTGTGGCCTACCAACACAAGACCGGATGTAATGGTGTCATTGGGAGGTTGCTCTGGGAGGATCATGGCGGTGTTGTCACGCGACGCAGTGAGAAGCACCCCGCTGGAGCACGACACGTGTCGCACATCGCTGGAGTGAATGCACCCCTCCGCACGGAGCACAAAATGAACCTCGCCAGTATCCGTCATGCTTTGGATGTGAGAATGTAAATTTGTATGTATAGTTTTCCCCTAACCCCACACAATCACTTTCCCTAACAAAGTTTTTTTTTCCTTTTTCTCTTCTTCCTTCCTACCGTTTGGGGTGAATATCCCCCTCTCTTTGAGGAAAAAATGCAGCAATTAATGAAGGAGTGACTTTAAAAAAAAGTAATGACATCGCTGCAAATGGGCAGAATAAGAAACAACAGGAGTCACCGGCGCACTGTTAATGTATTCCTCGCTTCTTTATCTACTGCGATGCGGTCCTGCCAGCGGAGGGACCGTTTCTGTGGCAACAGCAAATTTTGGGGTAGAAGGCAATAAACGTCGACGGCGCTGGTGTCATTGGCCACAATGGCGCCTGCAAGTGGGTATCTGCACCCACCACCCCATGCGTCCTCATGGAGGAAAACACGCGAATGCATTGACAGAAAACGCATATTTGTTGAAGGGACAAACAACACCCTAACCTCAAAGACAGCCAGATCGGGCCACAGAGAAGACACGAACAGACACATGCACACACAGGGATGGATTGTCAGGTTACATACGCAGCATTCCCAACAGTTGGAGACCATAACGCACCGCGTGGTACGACGTCCACCAGTACGCGCCCGAGACATCCACCCACGTGACGTCGAGCTCCATGTTTCCCTCATCCTCCCCCGACATCGTCACCACCGACGCGTAGGTGGAAACAAAATCCAGTTCGTCTTGGAGTGTCCAGCCACACGGGGGGCGTTCGCGTAAAGCCCACCGCATCAGCGCAAGACGCAGCATCCAGACAGCCTCGTGTCCCTTGTCGTAATGTCGGCGTAACTCTTGCGTGGTAACAGCTAGTAGCCTCCCCCACACGTGCAATGCCACGGAGTTGTGCTTATCAAAATCGGCTCCTCTCTTCGCTGTTGCCTGCTCAAGAAGAAATGTTAAATACGCCGCGGCGGATGTGTCACCGTTGTGCTTCTCAAAAAAGTGCACAACGGCGTCCAATTCCTGCAGCAAAAATGATCTTTTAGCACTCTCCTCAGCCTCCTCTTGTTGAAAGTGAAACGCGAACAGTTGCCGTCGATGGTTCCAGGCGTTGTAATTCATCGGGTGTTTATCAGCGGCATTAAACAACACTGAACGGTCGTGTATATGAAAGGCCTCCAGGTCCATGCCACCCAATTTTAGCATTTGCTGCTCCACCCACCAGCGGTGCACCCAAACTTCTTGAACCTTGTGGTGACAGCTCACCAGAAGGGATGTCAGTAGGAGTTCCTGCAGCAAAAGCAGCGGCAGAAAATGCTCCCCCTTCCCCTCCATCACGTCATGGGCGACGACTGTTGTCTTTAGCCATCGTCGTCGTTCACTCCAGAGACCAGTATGTGCGGGGACCAGCAGCAACAACACCGGCACCACGCCTTCCTGCGACAGTCTTTTGACCAGGGGGCCAATGATCGGAGGCGCAGAATTTCCCCCATCTGTATGTGGCTCGTGAGGCTCTTGCATTCGCCGCAGGAGTCCCACAAACGACGCCGTCAGCATCTTGTCGTCAAGACCCACAACCAACTCAAAATGGCCCTCGTGATCGTCAAGCACATCGATTGTGCCCCATCGAAGCGACATTTCCTCCAGCGCGACGGATGAAAGAAGCGCCAACGAGCATTCGACAGGTCTTCCAGAATGGAGCTGCTGGGCCGCCACTTTAAGCGCAGCTTGGAGTCGTTCGGCCACTTCTGTTAACACATCCGAGTACTTCATGCGACTCTCTCACCCTCCCTTTTCCTGCTCCTCTGCCCAAGCCATAAGGCATAGTTGTGTGTGTGTGTGTGTGTGAGCATTAAAAAACAAGGGGCCCAGGGATTTAGTGAACAAACATTAAGGCTATCGCAGCGGAAAAGGAGGAGGAAATATACATGTAGCCACCGCAGAGAAAAATAAAATAAAAAGAGGGTTGGCGGGAAGCAAAAAAAAAAAAAAAAAAAAACAACAACAACAACCAAAATACACACATACACACGCAGACGCACAAAAAGACGTCGCCTCCGCCAAATAACACGCGAAACCAAAAAAAAAAGTATAAGGCAACATGGCTCACTGGGCATGTATGACTGTGTGCATGCATCTGTCTTTACAATCTTTTCGATTCATCGCCGTGACAATACTGCCCTTGCCTCATTGAGCTTTGTCGCGATGTATGGGCTGCCATTCACATCACTGTGCAACTGTTTCATCAGCGTGTAGTAGTGTTCCTTCACCTCCTTATCCGATGGGCGGGCGCCAGTTCCATCAGCGACATCTTCCGAGAAACCGAGCAGCAGCAACGCCTCCCGCTCCGACATGTTGGCCTCAAAACTTTTCTCGTGACGGCGGTACAATTGGTGCGCATGGAGGGCTTGGGTGGCGCCCATTCCGCCCTGCGCCATTGCAACCCGCTGTGTCACTCGAGGCGCCAGCCGCGAGACGTAATACGCCCCTGCAAGTAGCAGAAACGCCGTCAACGGGGCCGCCATAAAAGACTTCCCCGCCTCGCAAAAAAAAAAAAAAGTTGTCCACAACGCTTAGCTGCTACTGGCAGCCACGAGAGTAAATGGAAAGAAAAGAGAGAGACAAAAAGAGAAGAAGGAGGTGCAGAGACAATTATTCCCTCACCATGCAACAGGATCCGAAGAAAGAAACGAAAGGAACAACGACCAAAAGCGAGAGAAAAAGAGTGAACTTAGATGTCTTTCACCAACTTCAAGAACTATGAACAATAACCATCTATGTTTTTTTCTTCATTTGGCTTGTTCTTTTTGTGGTTGGCTAAAAGTAGAGAAAAAAAAAAGAAAGACTACCGCCCGCTGCTTCTCCCGCCAGTACTGCCACTGCTACTGCGACTACCGGCAGTGAATTGCTTTTCCACCTCCAAGCCCATGGATGCACCATGAGGCAACTTACCCTCCCGCCGCTGTTGAGCAAAACCAGCAGCGCCATTGAACTGGCCTGCAGAAACTCTCCGCTTCTGCAACTTCTCTTCTCGAAGTCTTTTCTCGTAAAGACGGCCGTCACGGAAGGCATTCCGCATCTTTTCTTCCACTTCCCCCACGAGACTCTCCATAATGTGCTGTCGCTCATGCACCATCTGCTCATGGACCTGCTGGAGCTGCTGGTATTGCTCCTTTGCCATATCTTCCGTGCGTTTTTGTTCCTCTTGAAGTAAACATTTCATCCGCTCCCTCTGCTGTTCTGCCACGCGGCATCTTTCTCTTGCCGCCTTCAACTCATTGCGTAATTTCGCCTCACTAAAAGACTCCACGCCCATGGCGGCAGGTGTCAATGTATCATCATCCACATCTCCAAGCGGGGAATTCCCTTCCACACTTGTTTGTAATCCAAAGGCATCGTTCGAGTAACCCGGCACCGTCACATTCTGTAGTTGCAGGCTAGCACGATGTAATTGCGTTTCCGTAATCCACACCACACCCGCATCAAAGGCAATGCAAATGGGCTCCATCAACATGTCCACCAGGAGTGAAAGTCTCTGCAATGTTTCCTGCATCTGCAGTTCCTTCATTGAATTCGTACACTCTTGTCGTCCATTAGCCCCTCGCGGTGGGGCAACGATAACATTGAGGCCCTGGTAGCGATGACCATCTTCCTGCAGCTGGTCAATCACCGTCAGCCGGCGGTGAAGGGATGTCTCCTCCAACCGCAGCCGCTCCACCTCAAGCTGAGCGGAGGACAGGGCATTAGTCAGTTGCTTGTTTTCTGCCTCCAGCGTCGCCATTCTACCGTCTAATGCGTCAACACGCTCTATGAGAGAAATTCGTTCCAGACGTAGTCTATTAACTTCCTCCTCCAGTGCGCGGCTCCGCTCCAGTTCCACCTCACGCAACAAGGCAACCTGCGCAAGGGAACTCTCGAGACGGTCAATATGTCCCTGGGCAAGAAGAGGGTCAAAACGAGCTAATTCCTCATCAGACACCTTCGCGCGAGAGGCGTTTTGAAGCAACAGCTCCGCCCGCTGCAGTTGTCCACTCAAAAAAGATATATGTGAAAGAAGATGCTTTCGATCGCAGTAGTCCGCTGCCGTGATAAGTGGGTGCTGCAAAATTTTTGCCTCGGCATTGTCTCTTATAAGGGAGGGTGGAGCCGTGAGCTCATCGGCGCCGCGAACGGCAGCTGTGGCAGGATGCCTGGGCGGAAGCGCTGGCGGGAAGGCACTTCCGGATGCGGCATGTCGCCAGGATTTATCTTCCCTGGAACTCTGCGGCACCTCTTTCATCTCTTTGCCGTTAGTTTTCATCTATGGTCTTAATTATTCTCTCCCCCCCCCCTCTCTCTCTCTATGCTGAAATGTACGCTTGGCAGGTCTGCAATCCCTTCCCCGTTTTGTCCCACCGCACAGGGGACGTTGCTTCCAACACTACTGCCTTTGGATGGTGAAAGAGAAAGACCCGGCACGGTAAAAGCAGCAGGAACAGTGGACAGAGTACACAGACAAGAAAAACAACAACAAAAACTGAGCATTTCATGCCGTGGGAAATGACAACAGCAGTCGTCCAACCCGTCCCACGTAGACGGGGCAGAAAAAAAAAGAAAAAGAAAAGAAAGTAGAGATATAACACAGCGTTTACGGCAATAGATGCATTTGCTCACACGCATAGAGCATCTTAAAACACACACACACACAAAAAAAAAATGCCTAAATGTTTCGCCCTTCATCTTCACTTTTAGCAGCAGAAGTTGCCGTTAAACAGTTTTCCCTCAGTTGAGGATCTTTTCGAGACGGGAGTACCCAGTGCCTTTGACTTAATGAAATCCAACACATGCTCAGCGACGTTTTCCACTCCGGAGAAACCCGGGAAGTAGTTTACATCCACAATTACTGGTGTGGCGGAACAAAGCAGCGCCGAGGGGGCGCCGGTGACTTCATCAAATAAAGGTGCATCGCGCAATGACGCCCCCAGCGGCGTATCACACTGTCCAGAGACTTTTTTTGGGACCAACAGCAGGTCAAAGCCAAATAGCGTCAACCCCAACTCCCGCACCAACTGCTCAGCAATTTGACTGCACTGAGTGTAGGCTCTTCCGCCCACTGCAAGGTAATTCCTCCAGCGCGCCTCCTCCTTTACCCAGCCAGCATCAATGGGGAATTTTTCTTGAGAATCCACAAAAACAGGACCACCCATCTTCGACAAGACACATCGCAGCAACGGCGCTGTTGGGACAGCCTTCACAAAAACGTCAGTGCCAATGCAGTAAACTTTGATGACAACTGAAATAGCATGCAAAAAGAATTCCTGCAGAACAAAACTGTTGACGCAGGATGAAAGCAGTGAGAGCACCTCCTCCGGCAGGGATTTCTCGGGCCTGCAACCCTTCCATATGACCATCTGGTGCGTGAAGGACGGGCCGGTGCTGATGTCCGACTTCACTATCCACCATGTCTCACGTGAACTTTGGCTTGCACCCATAACTTCGGTGTCTTCCTCGTCGCTCAATACAAACGAAGACAACCCGAGCGGGGTCAACGATGCACTGTCTCGTATCCACAGCCAAGAGTGAGGAACTGGACACAATGGCCGCTTCAAACGACCGTCCAACATCTTGTAAAGCAGCGACCTCTGCAGAACGAGGCGTGTCAACTCCACCGGATCAATAATAATGACAGGTGGCATACGTTTACGACGACGTCTTCGCGAGGCTGCAGCACACCACCGACAGAGGGCACCCACGGCCTTGGGAGGCAGCGTGCTCACTTTGTGCAGCACCAAATCCGCGTCGTTTTCCGTTCCAGTCGAGAAATTGTTTCTCTCCGGGTCGTATTGCATCCAAACAAACGAAAAGGTGACATGAGCGTCGTCATCGCCTTCTCTCTCCAAACTTTCCTTCTCTTCTACATATCGCTGCAGCTTTTCAAAGAATGGCTTCTTCCTCTCCGAGCTACAAAATGCAATTACAAACTGCCTCTCTCTTGGAGCAGTGCTCATGTACAGACTTTGCTTCTCCTCTTCAGCACCACGCTGGGAAGTGGGAAAAACCAAACAAAAACAACAACAAAAAAGATACCAGAAGAGACGCTTCACAAAGACGCGGTCACCCAGACACAGAAGATACAAGGGAAGTAGACAGTAAGAATTCTGTGCCTCTTCCTTTTTAAAGGACAAAAGCACAATCCTTCACTGGTCTCGCAGCGGCTCTAACACACAAAAACACTAAAAAAAGCAAGGAACTCATTACACCGACGCAACAGCGGGTCCTCACATCTCACCACACAACACAATGGTAGGCAGCAACAGCGGCACGGTCTCCCGCTTGGCATGAAACACCGCCCTCGTAATTTCCAGAAGCTGGCGCTTCGTCCTTTCATGGGCCTCTGCGTCACGGTGCACCATTCGTCCAATGAGAATGGCGTCGGATGGCATCTTCGCATCTGCCCCACGCTCCAACGCGTCAATCCGAAACGTAGACGCCACTTTCAACGCCATCGCTGAGGCGGTGCCAGGAGTGTGATTCCAATACTGCATGTAAAGACCTTCGGCGTGCTGACAGCGGGACGGTGCAGTTGTTTCAAGAGCCTCCAGTTCATTTGCAGGAATCTGCAGCGGGCCTTGACGCTCACCAATCGCGGAAAAAAAGCCGCTCCCACCACCGCCCATAACATCTCCGCCAATGACGTACTGTCCGACAAGCGCGTCATGCATCACGGTCCCTTTATAGCCCGCCGGCTGAATTCGCTGTTCCACGAGACGGGTGGAGCTTCCAACGCACAGACCGTACATGTTTGAAGCTAACGTTGGCGCCAAATCTGCAAAGAGCTCAAACATAATGCGATGCGGTGCCCCATCCTTTTCACCACCGGCAGCTGGTTTGGGGCACTTGATGTCAAGAAAAACGACAGGGTTCGATGGGTGTGTCAGTGAAATGCCGCGATGCGGCACACCAAGGGGATCCTTTTGCGTTAGCGGTTTCCCATGCATGTGTCACTGTCGTTTGATTGAAGGAAGGGAGAAGGAGAAGGACAAGACCAAACACACACAAGGAAAAAGATAAGAATATGATTTAAAAAACACACACACACACAGAAGTCGGGCGGTACTGAGGGAAAATGTGTTTATTTCTGGAGAGATTTTGCCTTTCCACTTTTACTTCTCTCTATTTCTCTGTTGATGCATTTTTTTTTCCACTTTTTTTTCTTTTTTTGTGTCGTGCTGTTTAATTTACATACGCCGCGTTCTTGACAGCAGCTCCTGTCGACTCACATACGTCACATCGTAACACTCCACCTGCCGCAGCCGATACCACTCCTCAAAGGCACATAAAACCTCCGAGAGATCCTGCCGACTGCGAACCCGCTCAAAGATTCGAACGATGTCAAAGGGATCGTCTACCTTCGTCGTTAACGGCCAACCCTCTGCGCACTGCCCCGGTGGCTGCGCCTTCTCCTTCCTCTCCAGCACAAATATGTTCGGGGTGTAAAGCGATGCAGCACGCCGCAGCGCAAGATCAGATAGAAACATCCGTATTTCCATGGGGAGCGCCTCAAACAACGGCCTGGTGACGGCGTAGCGAAGCGACGTGTAATTGTCCTGCAGCAATTCACGTAGTTCAAAGATGGCCTCTACGCACATGTTTGCGCCCCTCTTTGGGGTAACGGGCGACGAATCGGCAACGGCATCAGGCTCCTCCTCGTCCTCTTCGTCAGATCCCTCCATCCGCTCCGACTTCTGTGGTGGCTCCTCTTTTTTCGTTGCATACGCCTCGGCCCACCTCGTTGTCTGCTTCGCATGATTGTACCCAAAGTACTGCACCTGTGCCATGAGAACCGGCAGCACACGTTCTCTTCCCTCCAGCAGTCGGTTTATCACCTCGACACGCACGCGGCGCAGATGCTCCTCCACGTGACACATCGATGGCAAGTCTACCATGGACTTCTGAACAATACCCGCAACGATCCGGTTGTAGAGGGTGCGCATTTCAACCACCAACATTTTTTCTTGATAGGAAGGACACAATCCCAAACGGCTTGTCACAAGCGACTCGTGCTCCCCACGTGTTTCCCTCAGTTTATTCAAATACATCTCAAAAATAGGCCCGCGAGTCTCAATCAGTTCCTCGAGAAGAAATGGATTCGCGCGTAATCCACCAAGAAGGGCATCTACTGCTCGTATCGTTGCAACAACATCTAGTGGGTACACACGTCCGGTGCTCGTCGCCACAGAAGGTGGTACGGCAACGGCTGTCGCACGAATGCATGGAAGAATCGCTGCACCCAGATCGACTGCTAAAAGTGCCGCCACGCGGCCAACATACTGATAGCTCTCCAAATAATCCTCCATGTATGTGTTAAGGCTATCCACCAGATGCAATAGATTTGGATCCTCGCTGTAGAGCGAGTTTCCATCGCTGTCATGCGTCGCCAGGTAGAAGAGATCCTCTTCGTGACCCTTGCCCTGAAGTGAGTCAAGCACTGGCATTACTGCCCTTTTTTCGGCCTCCATCGCGGCCTCTTCCTCACGCTGCAGCTGTTCGTTCCGTTGCTTGACTGCCTGTAGCTTACGCGCCATCGTCGCTGGAAGATCATCGTAGTTGACATGAACGACCAACCTTGTACAGCGGCCCAATGCTGCCAGCAACCGCCGTCCCGACATCGCGAATACCTCGTTCCCTCCGCCGCGCAGGTCCACGCAACGAAGGCTCGGGTGCTCATCGGCGACGGCCACCAACGCCTCTACCGTCTTCGCCCCCGCCCCGCTATCCCGAAGATCAATGAAACGCACCCATCGCATGATCGCCACCGTGCGAACAATCGCCGCCGCCCCCGCATCGCCCAAATAATTCCCGCGGAAATCGAACTCCGTTGGGCACTCCTCCGATGTGTCGAGCACCCGGCACACCTCCAAGAAGTGGGAGTTCACGAGGCAGCCTTCCCGCTCGCATGCCAGGCAGTAGAGAGTGGATAACCCACGCATACTTGCGGCAGTTCGGAAAAGCAACACCAAAGACAAGCAACGACGCGGTGCCATTAACAACAGGGGAAAAGAGCAAAAAAAAAAAAAGTCATTGAAGTGGGGAGCTCGACCATACAGCAACACCAGAAACAAGATGGCCGCAATCACACAAAAAAAAAATCAGGGGAAGAAAACACGAGGAAAAAAACCCCCCAATACCCTTCTCCAACTACAAAACAAGACCACTTTTGCAGAAAATAAACGTTGGACCAATATAACACAAACAATGACGGTAAATATCAAGGCAGGGGGAAAAAAAAGAGAAGTAACATACTATCAGCAAATCTCTCCCAAAAGCGCGTTCAGCGATGCGGACGACGCTCTGCAAGCTTCGCTTGTCTCTCCAAAGCCCCCACCACACGCTGGTCGAGTGCTCGAATGACGTTCAGCACCTCAGAGGCAAAGCCACTCCCTGATTGAATTTCCTGCGTGTCGCTGCTGACATTTGCGTCTCGTAATAGGGACTGACGGATCGCCTCCTCAAGACTTAACGCTTCCTCTGTGTGATAAGCTGTGGGTTGCGGTGCCGGATATGCAGTTGAAGCGTTTTCCCCATCAGTCTCCTGTGCACTTCTTAATGCATCTGACAGTTCGCGTGCTGTTGGCTGCACGAGAGCATGCGAGCCCTCGCGGTTGTAAATCGTTGACCACTGCGTATTGCTAGCAGCCTGCGAGAGAATTGGCGGTGCTTCTCCCCATTCTGACCGAAGCGGAACTCGTGGTGGAAGGTGCAACAAAAGACGTGGCTTTTCAAGCGCATATTGTCCGCCGTCCTGCCTTGACACTCGCCGCAACGAACGCAACCCCGTCGCCAGCCGCCGCCACAGCGGTTCCTTCACATTGCGCAGCGGCCAAATCGCTGAGGGGACCGTCACAAATGCAAGCAAACTGTCCATGAAGCCGCGCAGCGCCTGGCCCTGCACGGTCACCTCACCCAAAGAATTCGTACTGGCCATGTTGTTTATGGCAGGAAGCCGCAAGTCCCGCTCAGCCACAAAAGTAACAGCATTCTTTTCCTCTCTCTTTGTTCCCGCTTCTTCCCTCAAAAATTCCTCCGCGGTATCGTCACTTCCCACCGGCGGGAGACGAATAAGCCCCCCAATCACCAAACAAGACGTTTCGGGAGGTAGACGAATGCGTGCAGTGCCCCGTTCCACCGACGGGATGACGCCACCACTGCACCATGGTGCCTTCCGAAATGCAATTAACCGTTGGGCGGCCAGCACTGCCACGACGGCCCTGCGGAAACGCAACACTGAACGAGGCCACGTCGATTCCCTACATAGATTCAAAGCACCAAACATGTGTTCATAGGCAAGAATGTAGCGGGTCAGGGCTCTGCGTTGCTGCGACATCTCTCGCATGTCTGCCATGGCACCGGACAGAACACGGAGGGTGAGAACAAGTGCCTCAAAAAGTGACAGCCTCCCGCCGCCGTCCCCAGGCGCAGTATTCATCAGTTTCATTTCAAGTCGCAGTGCGCCATTGGCGCGTTGCAGCTCATCTGCTCTTTTTCTTTCTTCCTGTAAGGCCTTGGCCTGTTCCGCTATCAGAGGCTCCAGTTCCTCTTCCATGTACCGCAGCAGCTCTCGGTACTTCACCCTGAAAGCATCATGCTCACGCTGCATTCCCGCTGGTGCACCATCGGCACTCACAGGACTACTATCCATAACAGCAGATGCAACCGCTCGCTTGAATCGTTCGCATTCATGACGAGCCTGTTCAAGTTGATTTTTCTGAATATTTGCCTCGCGCAGGTGTAAGTCCATCATGGCATCTATCTCCCCTTCTTTTTGTATCACATACGCCTTGTGCGTCCGATGACCCTCTTCGACAGCAGAACGCAGTTGCCGTAACTCTTCAGTCATATCATAGATACGCTGCTCGATTACACACCAGTCGTCCATACAGTGAAGAAGTGAGGCAGCTTTGCACCGTGTTTCTGTCACTTGAGCCGCCTCGTGCTCCCACGCCTGGCGCGTCTTCTGCAATGTTTCTGTCACCTGCGCCCTTTGCGCCTCACTCCTAAGCAGCCTTTCCCGTACGTCGTCTCCATCATTCCCCAAGTGATGCAGTTCGTCCTTCAGCGCCGCAATGTGGGACTCAAGAACACGGCGCTCATTTTGCGTGGTGCGTTTCTCCTCATGTTGCATTTGAAGTTGCCGTTCAAGATGCCGTAGCGCCTGGTAAATTGGGCCCAACAGGCGTTTTTTCCGCTTTGAAAGGGAATCATTTGGCGTCATCTTCTCAACATCTGATTTGTTTAGACCATCGCCAGCCACAGCGACCGCAACATCGTTATCGTCATCATCATCATCATCATCATCATCTCCTTTATGAATATTAACTCCGCGATCAATATCGTCATCATCTGCAAGAAGCAGCAACGGCTTTTGATCGAGATCCCAATTGAGTGATGAGGCGGAATAAATATCCGCGACACGTTCCAAGCGGCGCGCGACGCGTTGCACCTCTTTCCCGACGCGGCAAAGTGCATCCTCGCCAAGCCGCCGATGAAGTTCTTCAGCGCCCTCGCTAACTCCTACTTGTCGCTCTAACGCAGTTATCTGGGAAACCATGGCTTTCATCAGCACCTCCTGAGCTTCCCGTTCCTTCCTTTCGTTATCAAGCGCCTCTCGAAGCTTCTTGTTCTCTAATTCCTTGACACGCAGAGTTTCCTCCATAGCAGCCATGTTACGCCACACCTCGCTCACTTTTGACTCCAGATCGTCCCGTTCCGCTGTCACAGCACACAGTCTCAAGGAGACCTCGCCATATTCCTTCTTTTGTTTGTCAACCTGGTCCTTTGTGCGCCGCAGTCGCTCGGTCATATCGCTCAACTCGGCACCAAGACCCTGACGGGCACTCCTCTCCGCAAGCAGCTGGTGCTTCAGGCCCTCCAACTGGTCTTGCAGCTTCGTCTGCCGCGCCTTTAACCGCATGTTTTCTTCGAGGAGATCCGTAGCCCTCATCACCCGCTGATGCTCCTCCGACCCCTCAATCTCACCGGCCAAAGCAAGCTGCGACTTTCCATTCGGCGCGTTGCCAGCCGTCAGCCCCGCTTCCGACATTTATTCCCCTGTTTGCTCTGCGATTCTGTTTTCGTCTATGCTTGGGCGTTATAATTCTTTGTGCTGTTTCTTGACACCCCCTACGCGGCGCTCGACACACGCGGGGCACACCGCTCTCCTGCTTCCCCTTTTCCTTTCCCCTCTCCTGGCTGGGAGTCCCCACTCCGCGTGTATGGGGCAGCAACGGACTTCACCGAATAACAGCAAAAAGAGAGAAAGAAACAACAAAAAATATTTGGCAGAGTAAATCCACAGACCAACACAAACACATAAAACGACAACAACAACAACAACAACAACAACAACAAAAAAAAAAACGACGGCGGCAGGTGAATGAACAGTAATATTAAAAGGAGTAGGTAGGTGAGTGGGGAGAAAGCCACCGCTGCTGCCTGTGCGTGCAGGCGGTCTCCAAAAACACCTCGGTCTGTGATCGTTTTCCACACTTCCATCTACACCAATAAAGACGTTTCCGCCTTCCGTTTCTCCTTGCCTCGAACGGCGGCAAGCGATTCCAGCTCGTTTAAGAGCTTATGGGTCTTCCCCAGAGCATCGTTGGCTCCATAAAGGGCGTCCACCCCAAATCGATGCAACACCGCATCCCGAATGATGCCCTGCGAGTGAACAATGCCTTTCGACAACTCTTTCTGTTTTTGCAATAGCCTCTGTACACGTGTGGTAAGTTCTTCTTCCCGCTTCTCTAACGCATTCTGGCGGGCCAAGAAATCACCATGGGCGGCTTGCACTCCTTTGGCCAATTCAACATTGATACTGTCTTTGGCCTCATGTGGATAGCCGCACAACCAGCGCCTATAACTTTCCGCAGTAAGTTCCAAGAGCCGCTCCAAGCACTCACGCTCCGGGCTCTGCTTTTTTTTATTCTTCTTCTCATGGGTCGCAGTTGTGACTGTGTCAAACGTCAAATTATACTTTTCGCTTCTGGCATAAATCGCTGCCAGCAGTAGGTTGGCTATCTTTGCAATAACCGCCTTCAAACGTGGGCACGCATTTCCCTCCAAAGGAACGGCAGCGGTGGTTTCCGGAAAAATGAGAATGTCGTTGGCACCAACTGCGACGCTTTTCCCGTTAACATTATACGGGAGTCGAAGAACAACAGGCTCCGGCATGACGGCGCTTTGGCTGGCCACCGGCACCCGCAAACAGCCCTCTTGATCCTCCTCGCGGTACACCCAACCTGCGGCCTTGCGCGACCACGTTGGCCACACACACAGGTATGCGCTTTCATTGTAGCGGATAAGAGTTGCATTTCTGCATGAGTGCACGCCAACGAAGTGCGCTACGGATGGAAAACACGGCAGCGATAAAGAGGGCGAAAATGCGGCATCGAGGCGTATTGCGAAGTCCATCTGCCGCCGCATGAGATCGCGGCAAAGAAGATCCGGCTCACTGAACCATCCACCGCGGAGTACACCACTGCTGTAAATGACAAACACCACGTGACGACCCACATCTTCGTCCAGCAGCGTTGTGCCAATGGCAAGAGGATCCTCCGCGTATCCAACACCAGAGATGCCGCCACGCAGCAAGTAACGCACACACGGGGAAGAAGCGGTCTCGCGATGTTGCTGGTGTTCTTCACCTCCGCCTACAAGGGTTTCGACACAACCATCGAATTCCTTGACCAATGCCGTCGGCACGCCCCTTTCGTCAATTTTTATGGAAAAGACGTCCCCACCGCGGTTGAGCACCAACAGCATCACGGGGAGACTAAGTGACGGGGGAACAACGCACATTCCAATCAACGAGTTTCGATCTTTGTCCCCTTCCATCGCCAAAGCCGCATCTGCTGGCGTTTCTGTCACTGTCTCATTATCCGTAATGACGTCTTTCCCCCGAATATTATCCTCTTCTTTCCATTGCTCTCCCTTCTGTTCCTCCCCGTTGTTATCTTCAAAGGAGATTTTGCTTCCCTGGGCAGCAGATTCTGATGATGAAGATGAGGAATTACTTCGGGTCGCTGCTGGTGGTGATGCCTCGCGGTTCTTAATCAACGCCGCGGCTTTGTGCTCAACTGCCTTGGGAGTTGTTTTTGACATCTGCGACTCACGCTTGCGGCCGCGCAGATCCTCCAGTTGATCCGTTGGGGCGACGTTGTCGCCGTTGAAGATATAATACTTATAGTCCAGAACGACCTCACTGAGATGAACTTTCTGCTGGTCTTGAAAAACAACCCCCAAGACTGTGGTGCCGGCAAAAAGAAGGAGGAGCGTTCCTGTCGCCAAGAGGAGCATAAGACGCCTGGGGCTGGTTGGATGCCACGCCACGCCAGTCACAACAGCCGTTGTCTTAAACTCACAGACACGGGCGCTCAGCACATCGATCAGATAATGATTCAGCCGACCTGTGCTTATTAAAGCCACCAGCTTTCCGTCAGCGGAGGTATGAAAACTGCACCGCACCTCTTCTTGTGGGCTGTCCAACTGAGAATGCGGTGTCGCCGCGTCTCGTTCCTTCATCCTCGTGAACGGAGGTGCCTCCGATGACATTTCAGCATCCATAGAAGCGATGTCACTACGTGGATTAAAGCGCACCCGACGCGGCAACGGGTACAACGTGACGGGCTCCTCCACCAACTTTTTTGTCACAAGGAACATATTGTCTGTGTCGTCACGTATAACAGCCATAAAAGTGTCATTCCCCAAGTGCCCGGCACCATTGGAGCGCATCGTTGTTGTTTGATTCCTCCCTCTGCCCCGCCTTTTTTCCCTCTTTTATTCCCCTGTTCGTTCTTTTTTACTGTTTCTGCTGATATCGTTGGGTGTTAAATTGCCTTGAATATACACCGCTCCCACAGAAGCACACACGTACGCTTGGCTCCCCCTTTCTATTCCTCTTGTTTTCTATCATTGCAAGGCAACACGTTAAGGGCAACAACAAAACGACACCACAGACCAGGGGAGGAAGGAAAAAAAAAAAAAAAAAGGGAAAAACAAAAATCACCTCAAGCGTGAGCATCAACAACGTGCGTCGGGCAAATACAGCTGGTAGTGAGTGTGGTGGCCGCATGGCATTGGGAGCAGAGGCAGTACAAGAAAACAGGAGGAACCAAGAAGTGGGAAACCCGTCCCACATAAGCAGATAATTATAACATAAAACAAAACGAAAAAGGGGAAAAACAAAAACAAGAAAAGAGTCTTCCCACCAAAATAAATTTCTTTTCTCCCTTTTTGACGTCCTTCCTCACTCCTCCTTCTTTTTTCGTTTTGATTTTGTTATGTTGTTGTGCTTGTATGAACCATTCCCCCCCCCCCCCTCCCCTCTTTTATTTTTTATTTTTTCCTTCATTGACACTATAATACATGGGACACATGAAAAATGGGGGGTGTAGGGGGTGTGAGAGATGAAAAGCGAAGTCATCTTCGCCCAGCGAGGAAATATACACGCAGACACATACAAAATCTGGCAGATTCAACCATCGGCGTCTGTTTATACTTTTCATTTCATTTCTTCCCCCACTTCTCCTCCACTTCGGTCTATTTTCTTTTTTTTTTTTCTTTTTTAATTCTACACCACATTCTTTCTTCTCCTATAATTACATGTGAACACCCGTTTTTCTACGATTATTTCCCGTGTTTCACGTCCTCTGATTCTCAGACGCACAAGGACTTCCCGGCCGACTGCTGGGAGGAGGCATCATCACCCACCCATCCATCCCCTACGCGACATGCGCTCCACACAAACAGAGAGGGAGGGCACGGAGTGGGAACACAAAAACACACACACACAAAAAAAAAAAGTGCCACCCACACAACAGCCAGACTAAGGTGCCAAAAAAGAGAGAAAAAAAAGAAGAAAGGCACACACACAAAAAAAAAAAATTACACACAGACAGACAGGAAAAAACAAACAAACAAACAAAAAACAATGTGAGAAAGGGGAGGAAAAACATCAACAGTAGAAGATGTAAATCCACACATACACAAAAAGGATGGGTGGTGCAGAGCGAGAAAAAGACATCACCGTCATTCATGCTTCCTCGTATAAAAAGTAAACATCTCAAAATAAGCGTACCGGAAAGTTGCGATCGGCAGAAGCATGCAAAAACAAAAGCAACACATTACACTTCTCCAATCATCATCTCCACATCTTCATTTTCCTTTTTTTTTTTTTTTTTTTTTTGAACGTATAAGGGCATGTATCCTTCTTACTACGACCCCCTCCTCCTGCCTTCTTTCCCCACTTGGCTTCCAGTACGCCCACTCCTCTTCTACTCGACGATGTCACCCGAAGGGATTTCATACACAGAGAGCTTGAGATGACCGTCCACAGATGGCGCACGCGGCGGCACAAGCGCGGCCGGGCAAATATGACGCAGTGAGTGCGGTGGCACTTTGTACGAAACCGAATGCGTCGTCTCAAAGTCACGATTGTCGGGAAGCGTCGCCCGCTCAAGTGCTTGACGGTCCTTTGGTGCAAAAAACGGCTGCTTCGGTGGATAATCCGCCGTGTACGTTGCAATGGCGTCAAACGGTAGTGCCTGGCCAAGTGACTCGTCGCCGCGGAAGGATTTGGGTGGTTTCGGCATATCCCCGGAATCCAAACACTTCCGGATGGGCCCTTGCATTGCACCGTTTGTCGTCTCATAAAAACCCTTCATCTTGGGCAGGGGCTCCTGTTTGTAGCGCACCCTCTCATGGTCGGGCATGTGCCCCGGGAAGTCATTGCGGTGCGTTGTTGTGCCGATAAATGGCAGTGGATCACCAATCGCCGGGCGCGGCTTAAAAGACTCAGCGGGCCGCACTATTTTGCCTTCGAGCGGTTCCCATGCCTCCTGTTTTGTCGTCTTGAAGTGGCCTGGCACCGCCTTCCCTGGGAAGACGGCGGCACGTTCCCTGCGCAGTCCATCGCGCTCCGTGCTCTTCGGGACGTACTCGTCACGATATGTTGTCTCACCAAAGAAGGGAATTTTCACATCTGTACATCTATGTTTACCGCACTCGCAGATACGGCAGACACATGTGCGACCATCTCCGTAGTCAAGACTGGCAATTGAATGAAGCTGTGTCATTCTTTTCTTCCTTCTGCTTCTTTTTTTTTCTTTTTTTATTTTTCCGGTTATTTAGAACCTCGCTTGATTCTCCTCCTCCTTTAATATCTCCGTTCGTGTGCCTATGGACGTGTAGAAAAAGAAAGGAAAGAAAAAAAAAAAAGAAAAAAAAAAAAGGAGAAAACAGTTAAAAAACAAAAAAAAACCATTGGGGCCATCAGTGGCGCACGTCTCCCACACAACGTTGCGTTGTTTTGCTTCCCACAGCAAATAAGACATGCATATATATGTATACATTTCTTTTTTTTTTTTTTTCTTTTCCCCATGTGTGTGCTTGCTTACAGAATATGAATGGTGCCATTTTTCCAATGACTCCTCGTGCCGGATGCGGGTCTATCTACATCGATGAACACAGCCAACAAACACACATATACGCACACCCGCACCCGCACAGAGTGAAACAACAAAAAGGACGATCGTAGACATGGACATGTATGCATAAACTTCTTCACCTTCCTAGTCGTTGCTGCATACGAACCAACCGTACCGTCAGTTCTGACGCTTTCATGTTTTCAAACGGTGTGGGAGGTCTTGCGGCAGGTCGTGGCGGCGATAAAATGCCGCCATACCTCGAAAGATGATTCTGCACGTCTTCCTTCGTGCTGATCGTTTCCATGTGCTGGGTACCGAGCGCTCTGATGGGTTCGTTCGAAGAGGCATGAGAAAAAACTGAAGGTGGGCGCTTTGATTTGCGCGGCACGTCAACACCAACAGCCGGTAGTTGGAGGGCGTCAGCGGCAGCACTTTCCTCCTGGGCGCCAGTTCCATCCTTATTGAATTGACTTGTGTGGTGGCGCTCGATGGCATCGATGGTCTGCTTTGTTTCCCTTAAATTCTCCGGGTCACGCTTGGATGGGGCGAGGAAATAACTTTCCTCCTCCTTCTCTTCTGCTCTCTTGAGCATCCACGCAGTTCCACTGCTTATCCACGGTGGATGGGCATCAGCGGCAGGTGGAGGCGGCACAATGCGGTGGCGGTCAACTCCCGGCATGTACGCGGCACCAGCGCGGCCATGCGGCAGCGGCACGCCTCTTGCGGATGGATAAATCACGCGCCCATACGTGCCTCTGCTGTAGAGAGGGCCGCCATGCACAACGGGGGTCGAAAGCTCCTTCAGACGCCGCTGCTTTTCGGACCTGCGTCTCCTTTTGGACTCAAGCCGTCTCTCCGCTTCGCGTCTTGCCTCTTCTGCTTCCACCGCCGCCCGCTGTTGCTCCTCTTCTTCGCGTCGTTTTTTGGCTTCGCATTCCGCCTGTGCCGCCTTCTGCTGCTCCCGCCTGCGCAAAATAAACGCAACCCTCTGCGCGTCCTCCTTACGGATGGCCTCTTCGTTGTTAAGAAACTGGTGGGTAAAGAAAAACTCAAACCGTGGACCCCCGTAGCGAACCATTTCCGCACCTTTCCCACAGATATATAAAGCAGCTAAAACCAGAGGTAGCAATGAGGTGAAAAGGCAGGAAAAGAATGCGAGAAAACACCCCATTAAAGAGAATTAGGACACACATACACAAATACATATATATATATATATACAGAGAGAGAGAGAGAAAAAGGCACAAAAACAAAACTTCAACCCTCCAGTTCGTTTTCCCTCGATTATTCACCACATATCTCCACCCTCTTCTTCTTATTATTCCCCCCTCTTCCCCTTCTTCCGCAGCGCATCCGTTGATTCCTCACAACCCCTCCCCTTTTTTTTTTCTTTACTCCCCTCCTCCCCAAAAGACAAACAGAAAAACAATAGATAGATATCTGACTTCTAGGCCTGCTGGGTTCCATAGAAAGAAGCGAATAGCGTCTCCAGCAATTGACCTCCATCTGCGGTTGCTCGGGGTTGCGCCAAACCAATAACTTCTGTGGCAGTCACACCGGGTATCCATTTATTCGTGATGGTACAAAAGTAGTTGTAACTATCACCAACAAAAATACCATCAAAACAAACCCAACTTTTTCCTGCTGTCTTCGCCAGACGTTGTGGCCATTCGTATGGGACGGTGTAGCCGTTGTTCAACACGGCACTGCGCTCCTTGAAAATAGCATCCATTGATGCTTCCTCCTCATCTGAAGAGAGTGGCGGACCACCAGATGTTGTGAAGAGCAGCTTCTTTCTTTCCATCGGGAGATCCCACCATAGAGGCAACACTAACACATAGTCTACAACAAATGGCGGGGGTAGTTGCTTTTCATTCGCTATCATCATTTTACTTGCAGCTTGTTGCATGTCATTCACGAGCTTTGAGAAAAGCCGTTCACAGAGGTCTTCATCATAAGGCACATCAAGCGTCAATAGCAAAGGCTTCTTTTCCGGATTTACGACAGGTGAATTGTATGCGGCCTCAACATCAAACTTTAGCGCACTACCAAGGCTGCCAAAGTAACAATCTGTGTCAGGAAAGGCACTGCAAAAGTGATTAGGCACTTTTTCACCCTCAAGTGATGAGTCTTCATTGTTGTTGTAGGAACCAGTCTTTGGGGAACCCATGTACGCATTAATCGGGGAGGCACACAAATCCATGACATGATAGCCGGCGGCATGCAAATGTTGCTTTAGACTGATATCGGCACACAACTGCAGTGATCCCGTCGCCAGGCATCCTTCGTAGCGTAGCGCAATTGTTGCCGCTCGAAGCAGAAACCGGTTGCCGTAGTCCAGCCTGGGATATCGCTCACCATCTGTCTTCTCAGCAAAATGTTTGTAGCACATTTCCAGTTTCTTGTACGCCGCAAGTGGAATCGAAACAGGCGGGCAACCATGCCGCGCGTGTTTTGGCTGCCGGACGCTAATCTCTGCGATGGCGCCATGCACTCGACGCTGTGACCCCGTGCGGTTTCCCACCTCCGCCGCGTCAATGATGCGCAAAGATGGGGTGCAGTAAATGGAGGGACTTGCGGATTCCAATTCCTGCAGCACCTCCGCCGCCGCGTCCTCGCAGCGCTTCGAGAGATTAAAACTTGCAATTAACTGTTTAATTTTCGCAACGACTGTTGGGGTGCCGGACGACTCGCACTTGAGCGAAACATCGCGGATGAGCTGCTCGTCGTATGTGCCAGACGACAGCATGGCTCTTGTAGGGAAGAAGGAGACGGATGAGGCGGCATCTCTGTCGCCTCGCGTGTCGCGTGCCAACTGCGAAAGGACCCACTTCCCCAGTGCCTCCTGGCTGTGGCGCCATAACTTTTTCGGTTCAATGAAGCGGAGGTGCGGGGAGGCCTGCAGTGCCTCCAGAAAGTCGCGGCGAATGGCCGACCACCTCAAATACGTCAGCACCTCGCGGTGAAAACACAAACCGGGATGAGCGGCGTCCAAAGCGCCATCGACGCATTGTCGCTTCATTTATGCTGATTTTTTTGTGTTTTCTGTTTTTCCGCGTGAAAAGAAAATTCAGCACAAAAGGAATGGGTGAACGGGAGAAACATGGATGACAGCAGGGGAGTGCAAACCTCCGGGAACACGTGGAAATTCTCCTCCCGCAAAACAACAAATCAAGCAGAAATGGAAAAGAAAATAGGAGTAAAAAAAAAAATAATAAAAAAAAACGGCAGCAAAACAATGCGCAAAGGACAAATCTCCTCCAAAGGAAAAACAGCAGGAAAAAAAAAAAGAAAAGGAAAACACCGCCCAACAATTAATCCGTTCGGCACATCCTTTCTTTTTTTTTTTCTTGTTGGTTCAATGGGTCCTGCTTAGTGCCGTGTTGCCTGCGCTGCAACATGTATGACGTCCCAGAGATTTGTAAAGATGGATCCGACGCTGTCCGCGATGACGTTTTGAATGTACTGCGCCGCCTGGGAATTTGAGAGGTCCAGCCGCAGTTTCTCCTGCACTTTGAGCAAATTCACGCGTGGGTCCAACTTGCCATCGCCCGATATCTGTGGAATGGACGCATCCACCATGAGCAGCAGCATGCTCAGAATAAGCGGTGCGTGCTTCCGGATAATGTTGTACGAGCTGCAGCAGTACGACTTGAATTCCGCATAGCGTTCACTCTGGGGCCCACCCAGTGTCTCCACCATCTCCTTGTTGATCTTCATCGGCGGTGGGAAGGGTTTCGGGTCATTGCCGAGAATGTACCCAAAGTCAATATGCAACAGCCTTCCGTCGTGCGTCAAAAGAATGTTCTCTAAATGCCTGTCGCCAATTCCAAGGATAAAGGTGAGAACGCAGTAGCCAGCGCAACTCTTCGTAAAGCGACATATGGCAGCATCATACGCCTTGTTGGTCGGATTGTGTGAACGAATGTATCCCGCAATGTCCCGTTGTACACTCTGAAACGTGACGACATCAGGCACAATTTCCACAAGACCCTCCGTCGTCCCTGTCGCCATAACGCGGTAGGGCGTGAGGCAGAGATCAAGGCCATCCTTTCGCAACATGCCGTCAATGAGCTGCACGAGTTGCACGACCAACTGATCCTGCCGTACGTCGTCACCACTCTTGAATATAACACCCACATCCGGTGAAGGGAGAGCAAGTGGAACAAAACACGGGCCCGACGCCACTGCATTCTCCGGCGCAGCATGGGAAGCGGTTCTACACATACTGCTGTTGTTGCTGCACTCTGGCTGTACAAGGAAAGGAACTTTCATTGGCATCTTGGCGCTCTTAAACATGTGAAACCCGTTGGATGTAATGTTCTCCACTACAAAACATGGATGCGTGGGAAGTGTCACGGGGGTTGCGCCGTCTGCGGCCTTGTTGCCACGGGGCTCTGACGGAGAAGAGAAAAGTTCATGTATGCCACATTTCTTCGAGTCGATCAGGGAGGTGGCGAACTCCATTCGCTTCAAGCGATCACGCGGGTCTCTCAAAATTGTTCGGTACAAATTACGCAGCACCCCCGTTAGTTTTTCCTGCCGACGAATACGCTGCAAAAAGTTTGGTTTCACCTCTTCCAGCTTGCCTACAAGACGTTGAAGAAAGACGGTGTATCGTTCCCTCTCGTCTCCGCGACGGCTTTCCGTCTCGGCAGACTTCTCCAGCAACGTCTCCACGTACACATACCAAAAGAGTGTCGAGCAGAGTTCCCAGCAGCCCAATGCACGACGCAAGAGAAATTGCTCAAGTTCCTCCCTCACGTCATACCGGACGCCCTGCACAAGCTGCAGCAGGAAGCGAAGGATGTGCTCATCCGACTTTCGGTCCATTAAACTAATGGCATACCTCCGCACGTGCACCACCTCACGAAAATAAAAGGAAAGGCACACTAATGCCTGTGAAAAACTTATAGGCTTCCATTGCTGCATCACTTTGAGGGCTTCCTGCTGTTCTGCCTCGTTTTTCCAATTCACGCAGCGCATAAAGAGCAAAAAGTATGCGGGATCACGGGCAAGAAAGAAGCGAAACCGCCAAAGAAGCATTTCATCGTCAACCTTGAGTCCTTCTAAGTGAATCAAAGGCTTACGCATAATTTCTTGCAGCTGACGACGCTCCAAGAGGCCTGGGTGAACGTCTGCATCAGCGTCTGAGATCAAAAACAGAGATTTAGACAAGGCATGCGCCTTCGCTTCACAGAGGTTTTCGTCACCTATACATATATCAAGGTACGGCCGCGTTGGCGTTGCCGCAAGAGGGGTGGTCGGCAACGTTGTGGGAACCATGTTCAGCGGCACAGAGAGTAGGAAGACCGGGACGCGACTGCGCACTTGCGGAAACAGCAATGAGAGCGTTGGTGATGCATTCCCTGCGGCAATCCGTGTGCTGCCCTCATACTCCTGCACTTCCCGCATCTCCGCAAGACGCCGCTCGACAATTTTGTCCATCCACGGCACCGGCTGCAGAAGACCATCGTGAAGATCCCGCGCGAGCAGCTCCCACCGCGGCGTTTCCTTTTTTTTTGGACCTGCAGAGCCTTCAGCGTGAATTTTGTAACGCCGTGGTCCTGCCTTGAGCCTTCCACTTGCTGTAAAGGGATGAAACGTTGTGCAGCCTACAAGACCGTGACGGGAGTAGACACAGCACCGAACCACTGCGTCGAGCGGCATATCACGGACGGAAATGGGGAATATGACCCACTCGTCAAATATGCAGGCGTCACCGCGTGTATGTGAGGATTGCAGCATTGGTGTGACCGGCTGCTCCATGTGCAGCATCTGCAATGTCACGAAAAGTGTTTCCACCCCACCGCAGCCATTCTGCTTTTGTGTTTCACCGATGGGATCCATATCCATGTTTATCTTCCCATTCTCTTCTTCTAATGTTTCTCTTCCTCTTCCTCCCTTTTCCTCGTCCTCGTAATTGTACGCATCGCGCCGCATGCACCATCCGCCAATCGCGCGGAGGTAAATCATGAAGTAATCCGTGATGTCATTTGCAGCAATGAACTCGCTGCTCGGCAACACCCAGTGAAACGTGTCGTAGTGTTTCTGCTCCTGTAAGGCCTGAACGACGTTGCCTTCGTTGGTGGCCATCCGACCCGGCCCTCTAAAATAAACAACAAGAAAAACAACAAGGAAATAAAATTAGCGGCAGCCAAAATCCAAAAAATGAGGAGGACGAGGGAGGAAGACAGCGGCCTCAAACACCCTTCTTTTTCGTTGGTTATTTCTTATCGTTGTGTTTCTGTGTCTGCAAGTCTTCTCACCCTTCTCTTAAAAATTGAAAAGTTCTAAACCAATTCGTTTTAACTTTCCTCTTCCCTTTCCCTCCGTCCACGCAATCCATTCTATTGCATTTCCTTTTTGCGTGCATGTGTGTGTATGTGTTTTTCCCCACGTTCAACAACCACGGTGGGAGCGGGGAACACACATGTACACATCGACACGTGCGGGAGCCGTTGTTTTTCTCCTGTTAGTACCCTGCCTCCTGCACGAGGTAAAGGTATGAGCCCGCCACCATCCGGTCCTTCTTCTTCTGCTGCCGCTGCACCTCGTCACCCTCGTCAAGCTTGGAGGGAGGGGATATGTTCAACATGCAGTACAACGCGTCACGCGCACCACGGACTTTCGCCACCTCGTTGGCGTCCCACTGCGTCGCTGAAAGGTGCTGCATCGCCTTGGCACATCCATCCGACGCCTCGGCGGAAGTGAAGACAAGCAGGGCTGTATACATGTCGGTGGCCATCTTTGCCCGCACTTTGGGGTAGCGGCTCGCGATCATCACAAGGCTGAGGCCCCACGCCGCCTCACGAGCCTCGGGCACGGTGCTACGACAGAGATCCCCGAGCACACCAACGAGTGGTAAAAGGACGTGAATACTGGTGGCATAGTGCTTCAATTCATTTCGAAGAATCTCCACCACGTCCATGTGACACGACTCGTCAAAGACCCCAAGAGTCATGAGCCGGTTAATCGTGACGCACAAGGGCACCACGACTCGCTCGTTGTGTGCATACTTCGCTGCAACCTCAATTAACGCGTGCGAAAGAAACACTCGATTTTCCAATGAGACCCGAAAGCCGTGCAAAAATGCATTCACCGCGGGTTGCATGATATGCAGAGAGAGCGACCCGGCGGATACCGCAAGGCCCTCTACCACACATGGTGCGAACAAATCCGTTTGCAACAGGGGGCACGCCAACGTCATGAAGGTAACCTGTGGTAAGGACCATTCGGCCCGTCTTGTTTTCGCTGAGGACATTGCATAGTACCGAGATGGCAGATGCCTTCTCTTCGTCGGCTATGTCGTCGAGAAAGGGAGCAAGCCTTGACAAACTGAGTACTGCCCGCCCACGGAGTCGATCTAACTTCTCCATGGATTGTTTTAGAAGCCCCTGCGCCGCACGAAGCGTCAGCAGCGGGCTACAAAGGCCACACTGCATTCCATACTGCACAACCACCGGCAGGGCATCAATGGCCTCAAGACGCACAAAGGAACCAACGTCACCGCGACGGTCCGCAGCGTAGTCGTCCAAGGCATTGAGGATACATTGCACAACGCATTCATACAACTCGGAGGTTAACTGCAAACTCCCCGGAGGAATACGGAGTAGGATTTTTCTCAACGAACGCACGGCGTTACGGCGCGACTCCGCGTCCTGCAATTCCTTCCGCTTTTCTGGCCTGGTGCCCTTCATTGCAGCATGAAGAAGCATCAAAAAGTACGCCCTCCTCCCTTCCTCCCTTTCCTCTTCCTCTGTCGTTGTTGATGATGGCACAGCACAAATAACGCTCCACGGCAGTGCGCCCATAGCGAGAAGGTTCCCACGGCGTTCCATCGGGTTGCGTTCCTCCCCACTGCCGTCCAACATCCTCTCCAACACCTTTTGGTGAAAGGGGGCAATAAACTCTGTGTAATACGTCGCCGCAAAAGATTCGTACGCGTCAACTGCATCAAACTGCAACCACTCAAGAATTTGTTTCCATGTATCTTCAAAAAATTCCTGTAGTTTACCCAACGTTTTGGCACGGGCAACAGCACCCCCCACTTTCTGCACCTCAATGGTCTCCGGCAGATTCAAGCGGCGATGGGCAAGAGCAGCGAGTAGGCGGCAACAGGCCTGCCGGACGTACTCACCACCGCGTGAGCGGAACAAACGCGCGGCATCCACGCGGGGCGTAAGAGACGCAAACTGGGAGAGAACGTTTTTCGGCCACACAGAGGCGTCAAGCGCCTCTATCATTTCCGCTAAGCCGAGGATGGCACCGTGACGTGTGGCGACCGAGTTCTCGGTCACACGACGTAAAAGCTCCGGCACAATTTCACAAACGGCCGTGTTCACCTCTGACGTGGCCAGAAGGCCCAAGGCACGTGCGGCACAGCAACGCACACGTCGATCCCAGTGCATTATTTTGTTCGCTACAAGTTCCTCCAGCATGCGCTCCCTGTAGGACTCGTTCTCTGCCACCAATGGGGCAACGTGCAAATACGCGTTCTGCAGTGATGCAAGAGAGAAGAAATCCATCGTCGTGACAAGGCGAATACCATCAGGAAAATTTCCAAGCCGTCCAACACATTCCTGGAAGGCCGCCGCCGCCGCTCGCCGGACGTGAACTTCTCTGTCAAATAGAGAAGTAACAACGAGGCTGGTGCTGAGTTTATGCACGTGCCCCTCAATGTCTGATGCATCATACGCGCGAGCGATGGACCAGCAAGCATAACACGCGGCGTCACGTACATGCGAGCCGACGCTATATGTTCCCTTAATCAAATCAAACGCAAGTCCCTGAGTGATCCGTGGGAGCATTGTAGGAAGGTGCTGCGGGTGTAAGATGCTCCTTCGACACAACTCCGCCACAGCAAGCAACCCACCATGCCAACTGCTGTCAGAATGTTCATTCGTGAACACATCCAATACGGCAACAATCACGTCTTCTGCCATTACTCGCGGTAGCCGTTCACATATGCGGCCAATGCCCTTCGCTGCACTCCAACGCACAACCGTGTCCTTGTGGCTCAGATTCACAAGCATCAGTCCAATGGCCTCCTCTAATCCTTCGCCATTCTCAACCGCACATTCATCATTCTCATTTTCGACATCCGTTTCCCCGTTATTATTGCTATTATTATTATTGTGGTTGCCATTGTCAACGGTCCGATGGGCCCCAATTGAGGAAGTCACACCCGCAGCAACGTCTAAAGGCGTAGAGACAGCCAAATTTTTGTCGAGAGAAGTCACATGCCTTTGGTACTTCCACGGGGCAGAACGGCCCCTCAACAAGACGAGTGCCAGCCGCTGTTCCACCTTTACGGCTGCTTTGCACACCAACGCATCACTACTGCGGGATTCCAGCACACCAGCGACGATTGGAATAAGCCCCGGAGCGTAGGGCGCCAATTCACGGCGTTGCCCACATTTTAGCGTCTTTGCAAGGGCCAGAAGCACACCGTGTAACGGGAAACTGCTCTTGGAGATGTCTGTAATCGCTTCTCTGGCGTACGCAAAGAAACGCCTACGATGCGCCTCTCCGTCCGGCCTTGTAAGGAGCCGAGCAACAAGAAGAGCCGCCCCCTCACGACACTTGGAAGTGTCACTCAAAAACGCCATTGCCGTCTCAAGTACGGCGTCGGAGAGGGATCCGCCACGATCTGTGGAGTCAATGATACTGAGTGAAAACGGTACAAGTACGAGGTTTGAGAGCCATAGAAGCAGACAATAGCGGACTTCCCATTCACGGCGGTATTTGGCACTACGCTGCCACAAACGCAGGGCATAAAACACATCTTCATAGAGTTTCACATCGTTGGAGAAATATGACGTACAACACTTTTCACCCGCGGTTTTCACAATGACATAAATGGCACGGCTAACGTGGTGAATCGCCGTCTTCGCTGCATCCACATCGTACTCATCATAGTTTGCACCCAGCGTGTAATCAGGTTCCTCCTGCGCCGACACCGCATTATCACCTTCTGGTCTCTCAATTCCATCTTCCATGCGCCATATATCCGTGGCAGCAGGGAGAAGGTCTTGCAGCGTCGCCACAAGTGGCCCAAGCAGCACCTCCAAGTACCCGTGCAGCAGATGCGGGGACTCCTGATAGCGGGCGATGATACGATCAAGACGATATAACGCTGCCGCCACACCATTTGGATCTTCAGCGACAGTAGGAAGAGTGGCGTCACGGTCGTCCTGCAGCTGCAAGGCCTCCTGCAAACGCACAAGAAGTGACACACACTCATCTTCCTCCTCAAAGAATGCGGGCCCCCAATCATCATCGTTTTCGCCCTCCGCCCCCTCCGCGGGTGAAGTACCATCAACATCGTCTGCCTCAGGCAACATCGCGGCGGTGGCGACCGGGTCCATTTCTTCATGTTCTTGTTTCATCCTGACAATGCCAGCGTGTGGATGTGAGGGAATAATCCTCGCGTGACCCACTCAAGCCCTTTTTGTGCGCTTCACAGAGAAGAGAGAAAAGGAACAAAAACAAAAACAAAAAAAAAGGATGGCTTCAGGGCAAATAACAACAATAATAAAAAAAAAGGAAAAGTAAATAACATCCTCATCGCTCCTCCTCTCTTTTCCCTTTTCTTTTCTTTTTGCTACTGGATAAACACAACAACAAGAATAAAAAATAACAAAAGACTTTCCCCCACGCATACACACAAAGAAAAAAAAAATAATGGAAGAAGTAACGTGTGACGAGAGGCCGTGCAATATAATCCATCCACAAATAATTATTTCTATTCCACTTTAGTGGTGAGGGAAAAGCCGTGAATCAGTGGGATTTCACCCTTAAGCGCCTCGTTCACCAAGCGATGCTGTTGCACCAACGGTTTACCACGAAATGCATGCGACACCACTGTGATGTTGAAGAAACTCCCACATCCTCCACTGGCGTCGACTACCTTGACGTCCTGCAACGGCTGAAGTATATCGCTGGCTCTGATCTTTGCCTCAATGTCAGCCGCCCTGATGGTCTTCCACAGTCGACTAGCACGCAGCATCTTTTGCTCCAGAAATGACTGCAGCACGCACCGTTCATGTGAAGGCCGGTCAGGAACAAAAAAACAAGGAAAGTAAAGGGAGAAATTATAACAACGATGAGGCAGACAATAGTAATAATAAAAAACGAAAAAAAAACAACAACAAAAAAATACGTAAAAATATCAACCTCCAACACCTGGCCGCGCCAAATTGACATAATCCACGGAGATCTACAAGTCACGCCAATAAATAAGAGAAAAAGTTGCTCCCACCTGGACTCGAACCAGGGTTATCGGATTCAGAGTCCGAGGTGATAACCGCTACACTATGGGAGCCACGGCATTGGATCACCGTGTCAACCGCATTTCTTCCACCGTTGCCTCACGAGAATTTACCTTTTGCCTCCATATATATTTATATATATATTTTCTCACTCTCTCCGAGGGGTTCCGATGGCCTGTGGGACCAGAGCCTTCTGCGGCCTGAAAACAATCCGCTGCCGCAGCATTCCATTTTCACCAAGCGTGAATGGAAGAAGCTTACATCAACCATTTGTCCATTCCATTAGCACGTGATATTCCCACGTAAGATATGTCCGCAACGCAATTCATTCTCTCTGCCTCTGCAAACAGCAGCGACAGGGGCAGCAGTACCTTTCGTTGGCAATTAAAGAGAAAGAAGAAGAAACAAACAAACAAACAAAAGAGAGGAGATCATCACACAACTTCATTGCCGCACCGTCTGACAGAAGGCAAACTGCCCTAAAAGTGACACAGGGATGCTTCCCCTCACTGAAGACAAAATTAAATGGGTTTGAACAAAGTGAAAAATAATCAAAAAAAAACTCAGTAAAAGAACAACAAAGAAGTTATGCCTCATTGCCCCCCCAAATTTTCTCCCTCTTCCGTGTTACTCTCTAGTCCATCTGCTGCATGGCCTTCTCGGCGGCGGTCACCTTGCCCTTTCCCTTGTCGCTCTTTGTGCTGCGGTCCTTGCGCTCAAGGATGGCCTTGCGGTTGTGGTTGAGCTTCAGCTTCGTGATTTCCACATTGGAGGGATGCACCCCAACGGGGACGGTGGTGCCGTTCGCCTTCTCACGGTTCACCTTGTCGATGTGAATCACCCAACGGAGGCGGTAGCACGCCGTGACCTTGCCCTCACGGCCCTTGTACGCGCCACGCTTCACGCGCACTTCATCGTCCTTACGGACGGGCATAGCACGCACGTTGTACTTTGCGCGGAGCTCCTTCGAGAGAGGGGCACTCATGAGGATGCGGCGCACATGACTCGGCGCCTGAAAGTGGGCGCGGCGGGCCTTGCGACGGCTTCCACACTTGATGCTGGCCATGCGGAAGCCTTTGAGACTGCGGGTGGCAGTAGAGAGAAAAAAGAAAAAAGAAAAAGAGGGGGCGGAATAAAAGCAGGAGCACGAGAGAATAAAAGAAAGGCATAATAATGACAAAATGACACGGAAACAAAGCAAAGCCAAGAAAAGAGCAAAGACCGTTATGCAAGCTTCGGCATCTGACCAATGGTTCTTATTCCCCTAAAAATAGCACGCCAAAGACCCGCCCGTCCACCCACCCGCGTTCACATCCCAAAGAAAACGCTCGTCTACAAACACACACACACACAAAAAGAGAAACCCAGCAACCCCACACAATGCCGACCGAATCATCCGCCCTAGTTTCCCCCCCACACAAAAAAACATACCCATATACCCATATAATCTCGTCAGCAACTCCCACCGAGAAATGTGAAACACAACGACTCCTCAAGAGAATTTGTTTGAAAAGGGCCAAAATAGAGAAATGGGAAAAGAAAACAGGACAATAAATCACAATATGCGTCTGACTGAGAAATTTTCCTCCTATTCCTACAAAAAGACACGGAACAACAACAACAACAACAAAAGAAGATCAAAATTCATTTTGATGGGCTCAACATTTCCCACTTCAGAAGGGGTTGAGTCCACATGCATACATCAACGGTGGGCAGTTTGGGTCACAAAGCAATCCATGATAGCCGGGCTCGCCGTAACCCCGCAAAGCAGCAGGTTTTTCCCGGGGTCCCACAACCGTCGGACTTTCCTCTGCGTGGAGAGTAGTCGTCGTCGGGGGCTGAGCGAGATGGACGAGACAACTACTCCTCGCCATCCTCCAACGCGGTGTCTTTGGTAACCAATCCAATCATCAAATTGTAAACAAACAGGTTGGATCGATGAATACCCCTGCCCTTTTATTTGGTCCTGTATAGATGCACGTGCTATTCACACGCCTCAAATTAAAATAAAAACATTACTTTTCTCTTGTTGTTTTTTATTTAGCTTGTTTTTTTTTTTTTTTTTTTTTTAAGTTTATCCCAAACAATAATATGAATTTCATCTTCTTTGTCTCCTTTTCCTTTTTAACTCGTCTCTGCTCCCACTTTTGGGGCCCGCAACCTTGTTACTAGCCCGGTTACCATCTTCTTCGAGTTGTTCCTTAGAATACGCATTTATTTTTTCCTCTTTTCCCTTCCGGTCGTAATCTTAGACACATTGCCTCACAGATGCACACGCTTTTCTGGGGCGTTGCCGTTGGGGTACTTGGCGGCCAACTTCCGGCCCATCGCAGCGACGTGCTCCGTGGTGATGTTGAATTGCTTGTACAGTTCCCCTCCTGGGGCAGAGGCGCCAAAGCCCGGCATGCCAACATGGTAGTGCGAATACTTCTCCCAGCCGTAATTGACATACGGTTCAATGGAAAGCACGGGAACGCCGTCGGGGAATACTGTTTTCTGGTAGTCAACGGACTGCTGATCAAAGAGCTCTTGGCATGGCATTGAAACAACTGCCACTCTTAGCTCTGCTGCGAGCGCCTTCGCGGCATCAACCGCAAGTGAAACCTCCGAGCCACTGGAGACAAGAACGAGTTGCGGCTTATCGGCGGAATGAATCACATACGCACCCTTTGCAACACCATCCATGGAGGAAGCCGATTGAGGCACTGTATTCTGACGGCTGAGACAGATAATAGATGGTCCCTTCGCGTTTTCAAGCGCCAATGCCCATGCTGCACTCGTTTCCGTTTGATCACTCGGACGAAACACCAGCAAGTTTGGCATGGCACGCAGGAATGCAAGGAGTTCCACCGGCTGATGCGTTGGACCATCTTCGCCAAGACCGATGCTGTCGTGAGTCGCCACAAAAATAACTTGGTGATGACTCAGGGAGGAGAGGCGAACAGCACCAAGCGCGTAGCCAAAAAAGTTGAGGAATGTTCCACCGAAGGGAATAAACCCACCATGGGCGTGGATACCGTTCATGATGGCACACATGGCATGCTCGCGGACACCAAAACGAATGTAACGACCCTGTGGAGTGGCTTTCTGGAAGTCAGTCAAAGCAGCCGAATTCGGACGTGTGAGATTGCTTGGTGTGAGGTCCGAAGATCCACCAATGAGTCCCGAGATGATAGAAAAGAGCGTCCCCAGAGTGTTCTCGCTGGCTTTGCGTGTGGCAATCTTCGAGGCATCGTTCAGCGGCAGCTGCGATTTCCATCCAGAGGGAAGCTCACCCTTTAATTGTGCCTCCAGTGCTGCGGCCTCCTTGGGGAATTCAGCAGCATACTTCTTCATTGCCGCTTTCCACGCCTCATGCTTCTGCTCGCAGACGGCAACATGCTGCTTGAAAACATCATACACTTCCTCCTCGACGTAAAACTTCTTTGAAGGATCGCGACCAAAGCGCCTTTTCAACTGCTGAATGTCACTATCACCAAGAGGAGCACCATGAACCTTTTCAGTACCCGCTAGTCCCGAACCGAAGCCAATTGTTGTGTTGAGAACAATCAACTTTGGCTTTCCCTTCACCTTCTTGCACTCCTCAAAGGCTTCTCGAATCGCATCAAAGCCCGTATCACCATTATCCACCATGATGACGTGGAACCCCATAGACTCGTACTTTTGTTTCGGTTGCTCGGTGAAGGCGAGGTCGGTACTTCCGTCGATGCTGATGTGATTCGAGTCATACACCAACACAAACTTTTCAAGCCCAAGATGGCCGGCAAGAGAAAGGGACTCTTGACCGATACCCTCCATTAGACAACCGTCACCACAAAATACATACGTCCAATGGTCAATGATATTGTGGCCCGGCCGATTGTATGTGGCGGCCAATTGCGCTTCCGCAATGGCGAGACCAACGCCCTCACCAATGCCTTGACCGAGTGGCCCGGTTGTTACTTCAATTCCAGTCGTAAAGCCGCGCTCCGGGTGACCGGGAGTGCGGGAGCCCAACCGGCGAAACTTCTTAAGATCTTCCATTGAAACATTGTAGCCGGCGAGGTGCAGCATCGCGTACTGCAAGGCACAAGCGTGTCCATTAGATAACACAAAACGATCGCGATCCATCCAAGAAGGGTCCTTGCTGTCATACTTCATCACCTCTGACCACAGAACGTGAGCGATGGGTGCCATGCCCATCGGCGTTCCGGGGTGCCCACTGTTTGCCTCCTGCACAACGTCCGCTGCAAGACATCGGATGCAGTTTGCCACCAATTCGTCCTTTTTACTGTTATTCATAGTTATTCTTTTAGTTACTCAATGCTGAACCTCGTTATACGTCCATAAAACCATCAAACGACAAGAAAAGGGAAAGAACAGCATGGGAGAGAAGTGGTGCTGTTTGGTAACAAGGCAAAAAATGCATTTAAGAAAGAGTTGCAGAAACCGACAACAAAACAGGAGTGACACACAATGCGTGAGACGCATGTTCTCCTTCCCCCCCTCTGGCCTAAAAAATTAGAGGTAAAACAAAAAATGAAAACAAAGTAGGTAGTGGGTGCATCACCATGAGTGGTGGTGGTGGCGCCTCCTCCCGTCTCCCGAACATCCTTCTCTACCGCTTCTTCTTCTCGAGCTTCTTCAGATAGAACTGCAGTTCGGCGCCCTCCAGCAGTGCACCATCGGCGCGGGCTGTCTGGCCAGGGCGGCTCGTGATGCGGGCGAGCAGACGGCCCTCCTTGAGCTGATCAGCAACTGCCTTCTCAATCTTGTGGTTCTCGCGGCGGAGCATCCACTTGCGCTTCAGCTCGTCGGAGGCCTTCTTGACGTCGTACTTCTCAGTCATGGCGTGTGAGGTCTTCTTCGACTTCTTCTTCTCCGTCGTGCTCTGCAGCGTCTTCTTGCTCTTCGCGGCGTCAAGGTCGATACCGTAGTGCTTCGCGTACCATAACTTGAAGGGCGCGGCGTCCACCACAACAATGCAGTTCTTCACAAGCGTCTTCGTGCGCACCAGCTCGTTAGAAGTGGCGTTGTACACAACGTCGAGGATACGGGCCCGCTGAGCAATGGCTTCTGTGCTCCACGCAAAATTGCCGGTGTCCAGGCGAAGACCGCGGAGCTTGAAGTTCCCACCGCGGGCGCGGACGGGACTCACGCGGCGGGCGCCAAGCTTCGTGTGCGCGGGAAGACGGCCGAGTTCGGCCTTCATGCGCTTCCGGTGGATCTTCGTCTTTCCACCGGTGATCTTGCGCTTATGCAGGCGGCTGCGAACGATACCCATGGCTGCTCTCCTACTGTTGATGCATGGTATTTTTTTCAGTGACAGCGAGATTTGAAGTGAGCGCAATAAAAAGAAAAGAAAGAACAGCATGGGAGAGAAGTGTAGATGCGTCCATGCAGATGTTTATTGCCCTTTTTCTCGGAGATGTGTGGAAGGTGTGAATTGCCCCTCCATGCCATTCCGGCTGATAGGGCCTCTGTCTGCGGCAGCAATAGGGTGAGTTGATACACAAATAGGGGAGGAAACATCAAAAATATTGGTGGCAGTGGCGGGCTGGCCTGGTAGAAAAAAGGTGCCTAATGGAGCGCAGCGCAGTTTGGTTGGGTGTAGTGGGAGAAAAAAAAAAGGTGGCGTCATAAATTCTCTCCTCCTGTCCTTTTCTCTTTCTCTTTCTCTCTTTCGCACGGAGATACATTTCCCCGTATGAATAGTCAGGTAGGCACGCATGTAAACAAACACACACACATACACACAATGCGAAAGACGGCCTATTGAGGTGTCTTCTCACCGTCTCTACCCCTCCCCCTCAAATAAAAAAAAAAAAATGTGAGAAACAAAAAAAAACAAAAAACAAAAACAAAAACAACAAACAAACAGAACAAAACGGAGTGTAAACAAAAACCAACACAATTTTTGTTTTTTATCTCACGGAGGGAAGTGCGTCGTGCCCCTCCCCAAAAAAACAGGCAAACCGAAACCTGCTGTTGCCGCCCACAGCATCCCGGAAGGCCCCCAGTTACCCTGCCTGTTATGCGTGCTTGCGGTGGTTGTCCTTCCTCGCTTTCGGTCTGTATAAATACGAATTTTCGGGGATTTCGCGCGGGGTTCTCCACAGGCGCCACTGCCGTGCCGCACCACACGCCGCAACAACTCTTTTGTCTACCCACGGCTGCGTGCTGGCGCCTCCACTGACATCCCCCTCCTCTCAACTCCACACGGCAATGGCGAGAAGGAACAAAAGGACTCTCTCCACAAACACTCACAGAAGAAAAAAGAAGAAAAAAAACCAAAAGAAACAAAAAAGAAAAAGAGGAAGGGAAGGCACTAAAAACCTTCGCTCCCCCTTCCTTCTCACCGCTTTTCCTGCCGTTACAAACCACCTCAATTCGCCACACCCACCTACCCATCCATATATCGCTATATATCTTTATATATATGTGAGGGTATACACATATGCCACAAGTAGGCAATATCACGCACATAAGCACCACAATAAGATCGAAAGCAAAATGAACAAGAAAGGCGCGCACAGACACACACACATACACAAAAAGTCATTGTATACGCATGGAAATATATGTTTAGATAAATTCTTCATTCATTCCATCCTTTCCTTTCTTTCCCCTCTCCTCATTGTCGTATTTTTATTTATTTATTTTTTCCCTTGCCTTCTTACACATACACCAAAAGAAAAAATCCCTCCTCTTTTCCTTTGCGTATTCTTCGTCTGCTCCTCTATGCGCAATTAAAGAAAAATGCCAGCACACCGTTCAGTCATAATAGAGGCATAAAGAAGGCAGAAATAAAGAAAGGATCCGATACGGAATGGTGTTGCATCACGTACCACAGTTCTTTCCATCATTATATATATATATATATATATATAATCTACCTGTGGGCCTACATACGGCAAAGAAATGAATAACATAAGGTTAGATTTTTCTTCAAGCGTAAACACCGAAAAATGTACGCACGTTTAAATGTGTGCTTACGGCCCCAAGAGACTTGATTCCGATCCCCTTTCTTTTATTCTGTTTTCTCATTTGCTTCGCGTTATTCCCTTCCGCACCATCCATAGATACATGTATATGCCTCTGTGTTTGTGCCCCTCTCTTCTGAGAAAATAGCTGGCCTATTTTCTTTCTTTCTCTCCTCTCTTTTTTTTTTTTTTTTTTCATTGCGTCTCACAACCTCGCGAGCAGACTGAGAATAACCTCAAAGAATTGTCCTCTAATTTTTGTTATTTGCCGTTGGCACCCTCCATACCTACACGCTTCTCCCATCCGCAAACAACAAACAGCCCGCCAACTTGTCTTAGATCAAAAAAAAAAAAAAAAAAACAATAGTAATAATAAATAAATAAATAAATAAATAAATAAATAAATAAATAATAATAATAATGATAAACACGCTCTTTTAACTTTCTCTCCTCTTACAATACACGTGGCTTTTCTCTCCTCTCAGTCCTTTCCACTCCCTACTGGTGGTTCATTATTTTTTCTTCTCGACGCCCTAACCCCCCTCCCCCCCTAATTACCCGGTCCATCTGAGCCATTGTGCCTCTCTTCACTCACTGAAACCTTTTTTTTTTCTTTTTCTGTCCTCTCTCCCTGTGCGCATGCACACACCATTCAACCATGCTGGGAGTTGCTATCAGAAGAAAGAGCCTCATTGGGAGCACTATCTTGCAACGGTGTTCGCGGTTCAATCTTCTCCACCCTGCATATCAGCTGCCTCCAGCTCTCAATAAATTGCTGCAGCCGCAGTGGAAGCCGTTCTCCACGGTTCGAGTGCAACTCCTTGAAACTACTCCGCAGGATCCAGTCGCGACAGTTCTGCTTCAGTGTCTTGGGCCCAAGGTCAAGCTCCGCCGTGTCGCTCATAAACTCCCCCCGAAACCGACCTCCGAACACCACCATCGTGTTCTTGCAGACAACAGCGACGTGACATTCCCTCCTAGACGGGCAGTTTTCATCCGGCTCGTGCATAACCTCAAATGTGTTCGAATCCACATGATAAGTGAAGAGGTCGTTCAGTTTCTTTTTTCCATTCCACCCGCCAAAGACGACAACCCTGCCATGATGCACTACGACGCTGTTCCGCGCTCTGCCAAAGAGAGGGCCGCTGTTAGGGGACTCAATCGGCCGCCACATGCAAGTGTCGTAATTGTACATGTACATATCTTCACAGCACTCTCCTTGGGCGCTGCGCCCACCAAACATGATCATATTGCGTCCACATGTGAAAGCGGCGTGGGCTGAGCGTGGGGTCGGTGGATCCCCATGTTGCGGGCACTCCATCCATGTGTTTGTCTGGAAATCAAAAAGGTAAAGGTCCGAAAGGCGTCTGTTGCTGTTCCGGCCGCCGCATTTACCAGCAAATATATACATGCACCTCTCAAACAACACAGCGCTATGGCAATACCGAGTTGATGGTGGCTGACCGCTAGCCTCAATCTGTGCACACAGACCCTCCTCACTAGTGGAAAACAACTTATTGAACCTCCCACGTCCATTGCATCCACCAAATATATATATTTTCCCCTCATAATACACAGCGGAGTGAAACGCCCTGGAGCACTGCACCTGTCCTGTCATCTCAATCTTTGACCAATGCTTTTTATTCACATCAAACACGTAAAGATCATCCAAGTAGTTAGAAATACTCTCATTCCTGTCATTGACACCACCGTAGAGGAAAATTTTGGTCTCCGTGCCGTTGGCGCATAAGGTGTGTCCTATTCTTCCCGGTGGGATATCTCCCGTGCACTGCACGCTGCGCCAGCGAGAGGCCGTGTGACACAAGGACATCGCCAGAAATTGGCGGAGAGGGCTGAAGTTGAAACAAAGAAGGGAGGCCAAAACAAATAAATAAGGAGAGGATCGCTTGTCTCACTATTGGCCTCGCAGAAACAAAAATTTTCGACGACCGTAAAAAATGAAAGGGCCAAAGCCAAACAAAACAACAACAACAACAACAAAGCGAGTGACCTCCGCGGTTCTATTTGACTCCTTGAGAGAGAAAAAAAGAGGACAGCCGTTTTGTTTTGTATTCCCTTTTACTCCTGCACCAAATAACCCCGTCCCAGCAAGAAGGAAGAAAAGCAACAACAACAACAAAGAAAAAAAAAGAAAAAGAGAGGAAAGAGAAGTACACACAGATGCATGCATGCATGTATTTTATTTATGTACACACGTGACTGCAACATCGTTGAAAACAGCAAGAAGATCCATGAAGAGGAAAGGCAACAACAGCAACCAAATAGGAAGAAGAGCTCCTTCTCCGATCAATCAAACAACCAATCAATTGCCCACAGACACACAAACAACACAACTGAAAACAACAACAACTTGAACCTCATCGGCCGCCAAAGAATAAAATGCGTTTCCGTCAGTCCTCTTCGCGCGGTCGTCGTCTGGCGGCTCGACGCGTTTTCTGCGTGGTGGTGTTGTCACCCGTCAGCGAGGGCAAAGGACGATGCTGCGCCCCTCTCACAAACTCGGGAACATACTCCACATCAGAGTCATCATCATCGGCACCTGCAGGTTGTGTGCCTTCCTCGCGCTTCAACCCCGCAAAAGGTGTTGTTTCACATTTCACCTGCGCGAGCGGTAGTGCACCAGACGTTGTCGACGCCGCAGGGGTATTGTTCGATGCACGCACTCCCTCTGCAACAAATGAAAAAAACACTTCCCACGCCTCCCGTAGCTGTTGGATCTGTTCACGTGAGGCGGGAGCATCAACACTCTGAACCTCATCGGTGTCACCACTCAGATTCATTGCGTTTGTTAACTCTTTCCCACTTCGCAGCTGCACAACAAATGACTTCACGTTTCGCATCAGGTGGGGCGGTAAAATACTTTCCCATGTGAGAATCATGGCATCGCACCACAGTGCTCCGCTGCCTAACGTCGAAACCACACCAACGAGATGCCAAGGCATCTGCTGCACAACGTAGTCGTGCAGTCGTGGCGAAATGAGAGGGACAAACACATGTGGTGCGTGTTTCATGAGTGAATCGAGCAAATACCAAAGTCCTTTATTTTCATCCGACTCCAAATCCTGCTGGCGGACAAGTGCCTTCCGCAGTGCAGACCACGTGTCTGTGGCTTGCGTCAGGTGGCGGAGGGCCACTTGCGTCAGCGCCTCCACACGCGACCTGGACGGGGTGCAGGACTCCAACATGACACCAAAAAGTTCCTCACTAAACTCTGGCGGAGCGTACGACACCATCTTCTTTCCAGTTCTGAAGTCAACAGAAAAAAAAAAAAGAATAGAATAGAAGAGAAGCCCCTTCTTGCAGCATCAAACAGAATCCCATGCTTATTCACAAATTTCCCCGCCCCGCTCCAGAAAGAGAAAAAAGAATCCCCCCGAAACAAATGGAAATTGGCTAGCACCTCGCGCCCCCGTTCTGCAAGGCCGGCGGAAGCGTGCCTTTCGCCAACGACTTATAGGCCGGATGGTGGTAGTAAACAATCCACAGCCACCGCAAAGCTGCCTCCGAGTGCTTGTAAAAGCCAACAGATTGTTTGCCCAATTCCACATCTGGGCCAACGTCAACCACATCGATTGTTGGCCGTGTGGCGACTGCAATCGCTGCTAGTGTGAGACCTGCCAGAAACGATAACGATACACGTGCATTCGTCGCCTGAAATAACCAACGGTGGTTGCGCGCCACTCTCTCCTTCTCAACCTCAGTCATTTGCCACCGAAGCAAAAAAAGAATCCGCGTAAAAAGTACACTACTTCGCGGAGACACTCCAAAATACAAACGAGGTGCCTTCCACAGCATAAGATACAAACCAGAAATAAACAAACAGGGAGTAACAAAAAGCTCAAGACCGCGCCGTCCCCTGTTATGTACCTGTTGTGGCAATTGAGTCTCAACAGCGTACTTCGCTCGCTGTTCCACAGAAGAAAGTTCAAGAATGAGAGATCTCAAATCCCCAACAGAAAGAGTCCGCGGCGGTTGCACCAAGACGTCAACAAGTCCCTCTTCCCGCAGCTTGTAGCCAAGAATAGGGCATGATCGCAGCAAGCCCCAATCCAACACTTCCTGTACCGCTTCCCTTGTCGATGGAGAAGCGCCTGCTCCGTCGTCTTTCCGCACGGCAGGCGTTACTACAGAATCTGTCGAGGCAACAGAAGTAGTCTTGCAATCCATGCGAGCGGGAAGCAACGGAAAAGAAATCGATGAATTAAAATCTCCGCCACCTCTAAAAGACCAACGCAGGGCGGGTATCCCCCAAAATGAATATTCCGTATCACGTGGCTCTTTTACACGAGCACGAGAAGGGTTAAAAATGGCATTCAGAGCCTTTTCTGAATCCTGCAGCCTCACCTCATCGTCGTCCGTCATCACCTGCCAAGGAGACCACCAGACCATTCTGCACAGAAAAACGCTAAGCCTCACAAATAAACGACACCAATAGCAGCTGCAGGCCCTCTTCTAAGCCGAGCGGATTCTTGCCTGGACTGCTGGCCCGTTCCTCAACTTATCTAAAGAATTCAAACAAGAAGAGAAGAATGAGTGAATGGAGAGGCAGTGGGTCCGCCACCTCCTCAGTGTTTGCCCCAACTAGATAAATATATGTTCGGAAAACCACACTTGTGGCATGTTGCGCTTTGTTTGGAGTATAAATTTTTTATTGCTTAAGAATTGTTAAACTTTAGGATCTTCCAACAACACAACGCCGCCGCGAGGCGGAAATCAAAAGAGGGTGGAAGGGATAAAAACAACAACAAAAAAAAAGATTTCCGTCTTGCCGTTATCGGTTCCCTGCTTCCTGGAATCACAGTCAATAAAAAATTCATAAGAGAGGGAAAAATCGTAAAAAAAAAAAAAATGCATTCGTTTTACCGGAACAAATTCATTTTGGTGGCCAGTTTTCCCCGCAAAAATTCTCCTCACGAGCTTCTAGTCAACACACAAAAACGGGCGACATCAAATAAGGAAGAGAAGAAGCAGAAATACACGCGACTTAGAGAGGAGCCGGAAAGAAAAAGGCGGTCCACCGCATGCAGCACAAAAATACAACAGCACGCTCCCCTCAGAAGCACCACACAAACGGAAAAAACAAAAAAAAAAAAAAAAACAAAAAATCAAAACAAAAGGCCCTGAAGTTCCATCAGGCGGCGCTGACAGGGAAAAAATGTGGGCTGATGGAAGGAAGGGAGGTGTGTGCGTTTAAATGGAACGGGCACTCCTTTCTTTATTCATTCCTCGTCCTCCCGAATGAATCCGATGGCCCGCACGCCAGCCACCGTTGGGGAGCACGTCCATCCCCACCCGGCGGAGATGTGCAGGAGACCCCCAGGACGTCTGCGAGGGAGCCGCAGTGGGGGGCGTGGGATACACCCCCGTTACGCAGCCACTCACGACGAATGCGGCGCCTCGACACTCCGCCGCGGTCTAGAATCAGTAAAAATAACAAATGGAGCGAGCAGTAAACAAACAAACAAACAAAAAACAAACAAACGAACAAAAAGCGGGTGGGCAAATACACACAAAAAGAGGCCCAGCACCACGCATTCATTTCTCCAACAAAACAAATACAAACGTGTCTCATCAGCGACGGAAGGCGACGTGGGCCCCTCGTGGAGGCCCCCGCCAGAGTACACCACTTACTTCCCTCCCCCTCCGTTCATTTCCACTCGCTCCTCATTTCTTCGTTCCTTCCTCGCCCAAGACAAAAGCATTCTTCCACACAAAAAAAAACAAATAAAAACACAAACACAGAGAAGAGGGCGCATGCAGGTAATTATGGCGCCCGCTCCAAATTTTCCAAACCTGTTACAAAAAGAAATTAGTGGACGCACTCAATAAAAACAAATAAAAGTAAAGGAAAAGGAAAGGAAAATAAAATCAATAAAAAACACAGAGAGTTCATCCGAAAGGCTGCTTGGCACGGCGCTTCACCGAACCACGTGCATTTGTTGATCTCCGACTTCACATGAATGCTGTAGACGTGACCCATATGGCAGATTCAGAAACACAACGGCGAAAAACGTCAGGCTCCATGATGCCACAATGAGGCCAAAGCCATGGCCGAATTTAAAATGTGTTCTGAAGGGTGTTGCGATGCAGTTACTTATTTCTTCTTTGTACACGTGAACCATAAGTCCCCAAACGACCCCAACCGTCACCATGCTACACACCAACAACACATTCGTCAGGGTCCTGAGAGACTTGTTGTAGATGTGTGACAACACGCCAAGGATGGTGGCAGCAAGCAGCAGGGCAATGGAAACGATGGAGGAAGCTTCTGCCACTCTGAATAATTCCAATACTGCATAGCATTCATGGATGACGTCATTGCCGGAAATAACGTATTCCGTGCTGGAACAATGCATCTTCCCACCCCACAGCGTCACGCACGGATCGGTTAAAAAAAATGGATTCGTCCTGGGGCGAAACTGGTCAAGCGGCGTCCCAGTCAGCATTAACAGGAGGGCGGTGAAGCTCACCACGCCGTAGAGAATCGCACCGACCTTGCTCATTGCTTCCTACGTGAGAACAAGAAGTGAAAACAAAGAAAAGAAAGCTATCGAGTGGGAACGGTGTTCGTGGGGCATCCATACGACGCACATCTTCGCCCACACGGGGGTCAGCAACGCAACAAGACACTTTTTTGCCCCACGCATGGATGGATGCCGCCAGCAGCAAGCCGCTATCTGCAACACTTTCTGTTGGGACATCCAGACATCCGTGGTGGCATTGCACACGAGTGTATCTCAAAAAGCATCGTTGCGTGAGCTGGAGTCGTCGCGTCCCTCGCCCCGTCCTGCCTTAAACGGAGTGTGTGTTCCAACCTTACCGCCGCCTCGCAAGGTGTGAGGGATGATGGGCTCACGCTGCCTGTAATTGTCTCATGGCCCCTACAGGCTTCCGATTGGCACATTTAGCAGCAGACAAGTGTGCGTGGCAAAAAGCGGTGAGGGCTCCATCGAAGCCGTTGCCGTCTGTCCAAAAAGCCCAGCAACGAAGGAGCGGTGGGCAGGACACAATTCGAGGCGCGGAAGGGCGGCCGTTGTGATGGAGCGGGCCTCAATGGGCGCCTCGATGGTGACGTAACAGAGTCGTTGATCGCACGCTAACGCTTCACCTTCGTTGTAGATGCAAAGTGTCGAGCTGCAGTCACGTATCTGGGGCATGAACGGAGGGGTGGCGCCACGCATTGCCTTCCTTGCGCAATCAGAAACTTCTCCAGCGGAGTCGGGATGATCGCCACAGGCGTCACCATTCCGCACGCTGAAAGATTTCACCGTGGAGCAAAGAGGGCCTTCGTTTGAACGCACATCAGCAAAGGCAGCCAACGTTTCTTTTCCACGAATGCAGAGCAGGACAGAATGCTTTTCCCGCAGCCATACAACCGAGCAAAGACGGGAGTGCGTGGGTGGAAAGATCTTGTTGTCCTCGGGCCCGGCGCAGGCGCTGCTCCGCAACTCCGCGATGGACGGCGCCTTTTGTCGGTGACTTGCCGTACCGTTGGGAGAACGCTGTTGCCGCAATGGCCAACTGATGGGAGCGCTGCTGCCTTCTGTAATTTTTTATTTTCCAACCGGACACAGAAATGACACCGAGAACGGCCACGCGGGCACTGAGGACGCCACTGTGCTTGGTGAGGACGCAGCGCATCTCCCTCTCGCTCATGCACTCCTTGATCTGCTATTGTTTCTGCCGGTGCTGTTGACTCTACCACCCAAATCCTGCAGCACGCACACGCGCACAGACTTGTTGGGGTGTGGGAGACGGTGCACGTGGCTCCATCCAGCAGACACAAATTGTCCGCTCTCCAGCCCCCGACAAAAAAAAAATGCACGAGATGCTCTCATTGTCGGAGCGACGGTCCACGCCCGCGGAGCTGACCCGCTCCAGCACCTCTTGAAAATTCACGTCCCGGATGTGCTTTGAACGGTCCTCCTAAAGAGCGACCGTCTCACGTAGCGCGACGGGATCAGAGCGGTCGCCATTCAAAAACACCGCCAAGACGCCCCCTCCGCCGGCTCCTGCCAAAAAAACAAAAACAAAAAAACACACCAATTATTGCACCCGCGCCTCGGGCGCACGTAGGGCGGACAGCGGCAGCTGCAGGCCCCCTTCCAAGCAGGGAGTCAACACACAAAAACGGACGACATCAAATAAGGAAGAGAAGAAGCAGAAATACACACGACTTAGAGAGGAGCCGGAAAGAAAAAGGCGGTCCACCGCATGCAGCACAAAAATACAACAGCACGCTCCCCTCAGAAGCACCACACAAACGGAAAAAACAAAAAAAAAAAAAAAACAAAAAATCAAAACAAAAGGCCCTGAAGTTCCATCAGGCGGCGCTGACAGGGAAAAAATGTGGGCTGATGGAAGGAAGGGAGGTGTGTGCGTTTAAATGGAACGGGCACTCCTTTCTTTATTCATTCCTCGTCCTCCCGAATGAACCCGATGGCCCGCACGCCAGCCACCGTTGGGGAGCACGTCCATCCCCACCCGGCGGAGATGTGCAGGAGACCCCCAGGACGTCTGCGAGGGAGCCGCAGTGGGGGGCGTGGGATACACCCCCGTTACGCAGCCACTCACGACGAATGCGGCGCCTCGACACTCCGCCGCGGTCTAGAATCAGTAAAAATAACAAATGGAGCGAGCAGTAAACAAACAAACAAACAAAAAACAAACAAACGAACAAAAAGCGGGTGGGCAAATACACACAAAAAGAGGCCCAGCACCACGCATTCATTTCTCCAACAAAACAAATACAAACGTGTCTCATCAGCGACGGAAGGCGACGTGGGCCCCTCGTGGAGGCCCCCGCCAGAGTACACCACTTACTTCCCTCCCCCTCCGTTCATTTCCACTCGCTCCTCATTTCTTCGTTCCTTCCTCGCCCAAGACAAAAGCATTCTTCCACACATGTCCACTTATATTGTTAACCACATGTTATGTTTTTGGAAAGGAGTCTTTTTTGGTATTTGTTTTATTGAATAATATTGCTGAATATTGACGTCACATTTTAATTATTTGGGGGCTCTACTGACATTTTTTTCTTTAATTCTTTTTTTTTTTTTGCTCTTCATTTCGTCCTTTTTTTTTTTTTTTCTTTTCCTCCTCACCTATAAAGCTTACTTTTTCTTTCTTTATCTTATACTTATCTATATGTATAGAGTTCTAATGGACAAACTGGTAGTACTCAATACCAATGTCTTGGAAGGCCATGTCGTTTCGGCTTCCGATGTGAGCAACAACAAATTCTTTTTGACGATTTTCTGCTGCAAGATCACTCTTAAGAGATCCATTATGCATCCCCTCGTACTGCTCTCGTGTGAGGTTCACAGGTTTTTCCAATGCTGCTGCAACGTTAATCTTTGAAGCGGCTTCTTCCCACCCTTTTACTGGAACAATTGGGATCGCTTCACTCGCGTCACCGGAGCCGTAGCCAACCATCACCATTGGGTGATTTGTAATGTCTTGTTTCTTATTGTAGGCCTCCTCTAAACCGGCAGCGATCCAGCATGGGAGGGATGCGGTGTAAAGATTACCAAAGTTTGCCATTGCTGAGCTTCCCAGACTCATCTTTCTGCTGAGCAAAGAAGAAAAATCCTTGTCCGCACGGACGGCCTTGGCGACCTTATTGGTGGCACCAAAAACGTCCTTGGGCTCCTGTCCTGACTCAATCATGCCAAAGTAGTCGGGAATTATATCAAGTTCCGTCTGCACCGCAGCAGGTTCCACCTTGGCCTTTGAGCAGAGCTCCTCAAAGTATTTCTTGTGTTCGGCTGAGGTAGCACGCGCCAGTCCACGGACGTACAGGAAGGACATTGCTTGAATCGGCATCATGTTGTATGGACGGTGGAAAAATAATGCAGAAACAGAGTTATAGTAGTCCCCAGGATTTTGCTTCAGTTTGCCCAGCATGTTTTCCACAGCCATAGTGACTTCTTCGAGGTACACCATCGTGCTGTAGGGTCCAGAGAAAACGGGGAAGTCTGGAATCTTACCGTGCTCCGTGTTGCTGCCATATTCTTTAATGAAATGACGCCTGAATGGTTTGCGGAAGTCGGGTCCACGGTAGTCAGAGGCGGAGCCAGAACATTTAGTATCCAACTCCACCAACTGTGGTACCTTTTCCACCAACATGGCCACAGAGCCAGCACCTTGCGTCTGTTCACCTGTTGAGCCCAATGCGTATTCTGCAATGTCGGACGCCACGACGATGGCCACCTTATCATTCCCACCATCAACCTCCGAGTAGCGAGTGGCACTCTTTAGTGCATACACACCGCCAAGGCAAGCGTGCTTAAACTCTGGCACCTCGCAGTGCCGAGAGATGCGCGGCAAACCAAGTTCCTTTAAGGCCTTGTCAACCATTCCTCGCACAATAATGGAGCCTGCAGAATTATCCGTGCTGCTCTCTGTTCCCAGTCCCAGGAAACCGATACGTGCGGGGTCAACATCGTAGTTAAGGATAAGACGGAGTGTTGCGGTTGCCGCCATGGTGTATGCGTTCTCGTTATGGCCTGGAATGCGAAAAGACTCCCCAACAACATTCGATACTTTCTTCCAGTCGTTTCCAGTCCAGTCACACCAGTCCTTAAGAGCAACACGGCACGGTGGCGTGTACACCGCCATCCCACTTATACCTGCAAGGGCCCTCACAGTCCGGCGCATATTTGTTGTAGAATTTGTAACGTTAAATAAGCTTTTCTTTTTAATTTTTAATATTCACTAAACCTTCACAACAACAACAACAAAAAAAGAAAAAAAAAGTGGGGTACGCCCTCGCACGGTCACTGCGGTCTGCCGAAACCGGCCGTCACCATCAACGGGGAATTCACTCCATTTCGCACTGCGCATCACAAAACAAAAACAAAAACAAAAACAAAAAGGCGAAAAATAAAGTAAATAAATAACGCAATTTCTCTCCTCATCGCCGCCCACAACAAACGAAGAGTCATTCACGACTGCAGCATGTTTCGACATTCTTCCCGCTGTGCCGTTGACACGAGTGGCATCTCCCCATGCCCATGGAGGAACATTGCGGAACCGCCAACAGACACCATTGTCAAGCAGAACGGGTATCTTCTCCAATAACAGAAAAGGACACCGCCAAAAATAAAAAAGGAGAGGCCCATAAACCTCAAACAATCACGCGTGCATTGGAATGCAGCCACAGGAAAACAACTCCCCACGCATCCAGACACCAGCCCCCTCTTTCTCCCCACCAGTTCCTCCTCACAGACGCCGGTACGGTTGCTGCCACTCGTTTACTGCGCAGCCTCCCTATTTCTATCTGTCGCTAATTCTTTCGTTTGCTACCAAAGAATGCTCCTGCTCACCAACTAATATACACACGAAAAAGGCAACAACAGCAAAAACAAAAAAACGGGCAAATACGCAAAACTCTGCCTGTATTGCGAAAAAAAAAAAAGGACACTTCATTTCTTTCACTTCCCACTGCGTTTCTTCTTGTCTTTATTCTTCGCAGCTTGTTGTTGGCAAACAAGGGAGCAATGTAAATTCTCACCGCTTTTTTGCACACACCAGCCCGTACCACAATATTTTCCCCTTTTTTCTTCTCTTATACTTCTTTTACTTTCCAATTCTTGATCTTCCCAGCTCCTGATACACTCTAGCAGCACAGCTCCCTTCTACTCTCGCGCCCTCTACGGCAAAGAAAGAAAGAGGAGCAAAGTACAAATTAAAAAGGGACAATAACAACAAAAAAGTCCCGATCTCTTCAGTTCACTCTTCCACCTCCATCCACAGTCACCAGCACTAACTTGTAAGTTTTTTTTTTCCGTTCTGCACAAAGAGAGAAACGTTGTTCATTAAGCCTTCGACGTTGCCTCCCTGTATGCCAGGAGAACCTCACAGCGATACTCCTCCTTCTTGCCCCACAGCGCTGCGGCACGGTTGTTGAGTGGTGACTGATTGTTTGGGTTGTCGAGGAGGTTCTGGATGGAAAGAAGAATCTTCGACACGGTGTAGACGGCGCTCCAATTCTCCTTCAGAATGTCCAGACATATCCCTCCATACGCATCGACGTTTGGATGAAAACACGGTGTAAGGAATCGCACAACTGGTGCTTCGAACGGGTAGTTCGCAGGAAACTCAAGGGAGAGCTGGTACTCCAGCCCCTCGTACACAGTGTTGGGCACACCCTGCACCGTGCCAATCCAGTGGAAGAGATTATCGTTCTGCGGAAAGGCGGAAATACCCTCGGCGCCCCCCATCATGAGCTCCATAAACTCCTTTTGCAGACGTGAGGACGCGCTGCAGTTGGACTGCACCGAAGCCATGATTAAACCCTCTTCTATCGCCACACCGCCGGTTGCCACAAGCCCCCCACCCCCTCCGTCCTTTTTTCCTTTTTTTTTTTTGTTTGAAAAAAAAAATTATATGTATTTCGTGTGTGCGCGTGTATATGTGCGCTGAGACGTGTTTTGAGAGATGAGCTTGCAAGACAACAACAACAACAATAAAAGGGGGCAAAAGTCCAGAAATTAGCGCGGACAGGAGCGAAAAGACAAAAAAAGGAAGTCATGGCGTCATAGAAGCACACACACGCAAAAAAAGAAAAAAAAAATTCACTGCAACAGACGAACGGCAGGAAGCCATGAGCGACCCAGCCAGAGAGAAAAAGCCTTTTCCCACTTTTCTTGAAACCCCGATGCCTCCATTTGGAGCTCGCCGTCTCGAAAGCAGTCGGGGTTGGAAAAAAAAGCAACCGCCTCCCGGGAAAGATATTCCACATACGGCTTCCCCAACACGACTTCCTGCGTCACGCTGCGCCGCTCCACATCGCACCTAGCAAGAGCCTTGTTGACAAGCACCGCCGTTGGCCACTCCGATGGGTAAAACATGGACCGCACGTGGTGCAGCAGTCGCGCCATCACCGACACACGCATCGGATCAAGACCCAAATAAATCTCGTCAAATGGCAAAATGCACCTCTTCCCTTCGCTGTCTTCCAGCAGGAGGGGATGACTCTTGAAGCCTTTCTCCATGCGTACTGATGGCGACTCGAATGGGTACTTCGGTGGCAGCTGCACAAGGAAGGCAAAAAAGCCGCCGTACCACGGTGAGGGGGAATTACTTACAGCCACTAACCCCCTCCAACAGTCGTTTTGTTTACCGGAGTCGTTTTGGGGCGGAACCAGCAGAATATCATCAAATTCTCCGCAATTTGCAACGAGTGCATACTCACGACGCAGGTAGAGGGTGCGGTGCAGTGCGTCCCGCTGATCCGTAGAGACGGCATCATTAAGCGGTTCCATGATTTTGCACAAGAGAGCACCAAAGGGACGCTGGGACCGAAGAAGTAATATACAAGCAAGCAAAGTGCAAACCCCAAAAACATGTATACACACACACGTCGGTGACAGGGAAAAATCAAAGGAGAAAAAAAAAAAAAAAAAGAGTCCAGTAAGACACGTTTACAACCGAAAAGAAAAAAAGATTAATTTTTCTTTGTGATCGCAAACGGAGGCCGCATACCAACACATGCGGACAGTCCATGGGACCAACCGTGAATGAATCCTCACAATGCCCTCTCGCAAAGTGTCAACAAACGATACTCGCCAAAAAACAATAAAAAATAAAATGAAAAACGAACAACAAATAAACAAATATATTTATATAGACGTCAACATAATTACGCAACAAACCAAATCACGTTCTTTTATAAAAATTCAGTCGTTTCATCTCCCAACTCACATACACGCAAAAAGAGAATGAAAAAAAAAAAAAAAAAAAAAGAAAGAAGAGAGCAATATTTAGTCCCAGAAATATGTTGAGACCAAATCCATTGACAAAGACGCATTCCATCGAGGGGGATTATGCCAAACGGGCAAAACAACATCCTTTTGCACGCGTAACCTTCTCCGCGTAACCAGCACTAGGCTCTCGCGGCGTACGAAGCGTCACAGCTGAGATATAGTGCACATTTTCACCGGGGGCATTGCTTAACTCCCCGTAACCACCAACTGACAAATCCCACTGAAGGGCTTCAGCTTCTCCGTTGGAGATAATCTCTGCCTCTGGGACGTGTGTGAACTCACGCACATCTGGCAAACACTCGAGCCATTCCAAAATTAATTTGTACGGTGGATTATCTCCATTCAAAGAAATTCCGTCTAAATATTCGTTGCCTTCATTATATGTGAGGCGGGACACCACAGGTGAGGGTACGGGAGCTTTTGCTGATGGCACAGGAAACGAGTGGTGTGCACCCATATCATTCAGTCCCG